GGCGGATGATGGGCCGGCAGGCATGGGCCCCGTGCACCCTGGGTAGGGGTTTGTGAGCGGTGCTGCGCTGGCCCTGCCTGCCGTGTCGGTGTGTCTGGGGGAGTGTGTGTCCGTGGCCAGCCCACAGCTGGAAGCCTTCTGTCTGCCCTCCCCCCGCCCTGGGTCACAACGCTCAACCCCACCCCCCAGGCGCACACAGACTCCCTGAACACCCTCGTGGCCCTGCACCAGCTCTACCAGTACACGCAGAAGTACTACGACGAGGTAAGGGCCGTCCTCCCAGGGGTGGCAGCGCCCGGGCCGTGGGTCCCCGCCGCGGTCTGACGTGAGCCCCCCTCAGATCATCAACGCCCTGGAGGAGGATCCCGCCGCGCAGAAGATGCAGCTGGCCTTTCGCCTCCAGCAGATCGCGGCTGCGCTGGAGAACAAAGTCACAGACCTCTGACCTCGGACCTCTGCCACCACGGTCTCTGGGCACAGGTGCGTGATGCCCCGTGTCAGTCACGGGGCGGCCCCTGAAGACGAGGCCAAGTGGCGAGGCCCTTACCTTTCACCAGCAGAGCAAGAGCCCCGGGGCATGTGGAAGACGCCCCCGGGGGAGCCCTCGCCTCGGTGTCTGGTGTGTGTAGCATCTTTCTCAGCAATACTGCCGGGCGCCCGCCAGCACCAGCCCCTCCTGCAGAACCAGCACCAGGTGTTCTGTGTCACACCAAGTGATTCGCAAACGTGCCTTACGCCCTGGAGCCGCGCTGGGTCGCTGGGGGCAGTTGGGCCTCCGCTCCCCCTCCCTGAGCACCAGCAGCCGCCTTGCATCCTGGGTTTGGCCTCTCTGGGTGAGGTCTGAGTGCCTGTGGCCCCCAGGGCCCGGCACCCAGACTGTGTCTGTCTGTCCCACTGGGACGGAAGGAGAGAAGCGGTACGAAGCCTTCCTGACCTCACCCGGCCGGCCCTGTGGGGCGCTGGCACCCCGGGTGGACTCCGCACCTCGGGCCTCACCTCACAGGTCAAGCTGGACGTCAGACGTCGAGGCCCAGGCGGCCAGAGGGGACCCAGCAGGCGGAGGGTCTGTTTCAGCCTGTCTGACAGGCCGTCCTGGAGGCCGGGCCCAGGTCTGGGGTCCGGGAGCAGCTCCGCCAGGACCGCCCTCGCCCCTACCCCCTTTTGTAAATCTTGTTAATTGTAAATCAAATATAGCTGTGTTTTTCACTCTGCTGGTTGGCTGGGTTCCTCCTGGCGCTGGGGCACGTGTGTGTCTCTGCCTGCTGCCCCCCTTTCCAGGCCAGACAAGGTTGCAGGGTGTCCCCCTTGGGGCTCCCAGGCGCGCAGGGGAGTGTTGAGCGGTTTGTCTGGCCCCTGGCCGCCCCAGGGCAGGACAGCCTGGTGGGGACAGCCTGGCATCCCTGCACCCCCCCCATGGTGGGGGGAGGGGGATCCGGCGCCATCTGGTGGCGAACCCGCCCCCACCCATCCACCTGGGCTCGGGTGCAGCTGATGGCGGTGGGCGTGGCTTGGGCCTCCCCCTGGACCTCGAACCCCAGAGGCGTCTCCTCTTCTGAGATGGGGGTACCTCGCAGGCCTGGTTCAGCCAGCACACGCTCAGTGAGTCATCGCTGTGTGCAGACCCCACCAGAGAGCGGGGGCCTTGGGAGGCAGCCCTGTGTCCCCACTGCTCCGGCTGTGGGGCCATCTGGGGCAGCTCCAGGACGACTCGGGGCTGCAATAAGGCTGACGGCCAGGGAAGGAGCACAGAGCACAGGGCAGCGGCACCACCGCTGTAGCCCTTGGGGTGTCCACACGGTGTCGGCCCGTCAGGCCTGCCCTGTGAGGGCCCGGGCTCCCAGGATACCAGCCCAGCAGAAGGGGGAAGCTCCTAACAGGACAGGTGTGGTGCAGCCAGCCTGACACGGCTGCATCCAGGTGCCCACGTGTCTGCAGCTTCCCCACACGTGCTGCTGTGTCCTTGGGCCGCCCCACACCGTCTCCCCCCACTGAGGCTTCCCTGTGGCCCTAGACAGGCTAGGCCTCGGCGGGACCCCCTGCACACAGGGGCAGCCCCATTCAAGCCTCACGGATCAAGTGTGGCTACCTCTCGCAAGGAAGAGATGCGAGGCAAACAGCTGACGTCCCCCCCCCAGGACCCCTAGGTGACACGGTTATGAGCCACACTGTTCCCCAAGATTCAGCTGTTCAGAAGCAGGTGGGGCACCTTCTGGAAGCGCTAAGCTGGGGGCACCTGGGGCAGGCAGAGGTGGGAACCTGGGGCCTGGCTGCCAGCCACTCCTGCCAGCCCCCAACTGGGCAGCCAGTGAGGACCCCTCACATTCTGGGGGGCGTGCAGGCAGTGGAGGAAGGGCTGCAGACCCAACAGGGGTTTACCCCCCCCTCAGAGGGCAGGAGGTGTCCTTCTAGGGCCAGTGAGGGTAGAGACTGGGTGTGGATGTTGGGGTGGGGCAGGTCAGCCTGGAGTGGTCGCCATGACAAACTGACGGATGACCCACCCTCCCGTGTCCACTTCCCCGTGTCCCTGTGGGGCAGGTGGGGGCAAGGACAGGAAGGAAGCACACGGCCTCCATGACCTTTCCTGCCAAGTTGCAGAAAGCTGCCCAAGGCCCTACCCTGCTTTCAAACCAGTGACCCCTCCCCGGAATCAGGGGCCTCCATGTCAAGGACTCAGGGGGCTCCTGCCGGCCTCTGGGTGGCCTGGGCAGTGGAGGGGACACGGAGAGGAGAGAGACCTTGGACACCGAGGGATAACCATGAAGTAGTGGGGAGACCGGGATGGGGTCCCGAGGCCCAGGGCCGGCATCTTCCCCGCGATTTCCCCACCGGGACCCAGCTCCCACCTGAGGCACCTGCCGCTCCCCGCTACTCTCCGCTGCAGGCCACCAGGCCTGTCACCTGGCCGCAGCCACCACCTGCAGCCGGTGGCCGGGATGGCGCTGTGGGAAGGCCCAGCAGGGCTCCCACCAGGGTCCCTCCCGTGGAGCTCGGTCCTCCAGGCAGGACGCTGGACACTCGGGCCAGGCTCCCCTAGGGTGGCCAGGAGGAGGGCCCTGTCACCATGGGAACCTGGGGGCACCCCCAGCGCAAACAAAGGCCGCCCCCTCCCCCGCCTTCAGCTGAAGCTGCACTGGCTCCACACAAAACCCAGGCGCCGCCCCGCAGGGCGGGGACACCGGGGTCCCGGAGGGGAAACTGAGGCCGGGGTCCTGCCAGGCTGGCCGCGGGCGGGGCTCAGCTCACACTGCAGTCCCGATGTGCCGGGCGGTGACGTTTGCCTGGTGCTGCCCTGACAACGCTTTGCTTTAATTTGGCTGCCGGTATTTAAAGCCAGCAGGTTTCACATAAAATCTCAGGGTTTGGTTTGTTTGGAAGAGGGCGTGGCTGCCGTGTCCCCGGAGGTGCCAGCCCCGCCCCCGCCCTCATCGCGGTCCGGAGGCACCTGTCACCTGGCAGCGCTGGTCACCTTTGAGGGGGAAGGAGAGGTGCGCGAGCCCAACACCGGACAGAGGCGAGGCCGCCCTTCGGGGTGAGGGACGGGCGGCGCTGCCGAGGGGACACGGGGACGAGCTGCGGTGATGCCCGGGAGGAGCTGCGCAGGACATGGGAAAGTCAGGGTGGGCTTCTCGGAAGAGGTGGCGGCGGAAGGGGGTTAGGAGGAGAGGAGCCCGGAACCGAAGGGGCCCGGTTGGGGGCAGCTGTTTGTGGGTACAGCACCTCGGAGGTGGCCGGGCGCCGCCGCTGTCCCTGGTCCTGAAGGGGCTGGTCCTGGGGCCGCACCAGCAGCGCCTCGCCCCCGGCGGTGCCCAGGCCTGCCCCGAGCGGGAGCCGCCGCGCAGCCACGGGAGGCCCCGGACACGGGCCACGACGCGGGTGGGGCGGCGGGGTGGGGGCGGGCCACCCACCTGCCCGCCCCACGGCCACGTCCCACCAAGTGTCCGGGTTCCTTGGGCGGTGTTTCCTATGCAGCTGCGCAGGGGTGTCGTGCAGGGCCCGGAGGGGGGGGGGGGGGCCGGTGTGCGGACCCGCGGTGCCGGCAGGGGAGGGGGCGGGGAGCCGAGGCTGCGGGCAGGGCGGTGCCCCCGCGAGCGCGCGCTGCAGCCGGAGGCTGGGGGTGCGGGGCCCGGCAGGGGGCGGGGGTTGCGGGGAGGGGGCGGTGCGGGGGGTGGGAGCGTGCGGGGCCCGGCAGGGGTGCGGGAGGAAGGGTGCGGAGGGGGGAGAGTGTGCGGGGGCCCGGGAGGGGGTGGGGCGGGGTGCATGGGAGGGTGCGGGAGGAAGGGTGCGGGGGGAGTGTGGGGCCCGGGAGGGGGTGGGGCGGGGTGCATGGGAGGGTGCGGGAGGAAGGGTGCGGGAGGGGTGGAGTGTGGGGCCCGGGAGGGGGCGGGGCGGATGGAGGGTGCGGGGCCCGGGAGGGGTGCGGGAGGGGGTGCGGGGTGCGGGCCCCCGAGGGGGGCGGGGGGCAGCCGTCCGCCGGGACACCGCCCGGCTGGGGCAGGAAGCCGCGCGTCGGGCCCCCGCGCTCCCCGGCCCCGCCCCGCGCCGCCGCCGCCTCCTCCCGCCGCCCTCCGTGCGCTCGGCTCGGGCTGGGGCTCGGGCTGGGGCTGGGGCTCCAGCAGGGGCGCGGGCGGGCGGGGGCAGGGGCGGGGCGGGCGGGCGGCAGCCGCTTCGGCCATGTCGGGCCCGCGCGCAGGCTTCTACCGGCAGGAGCTCAACAAGACGGTGTGGGAGGTGCCGCGGCGGCTGCAGGGGCTGCGCCCGGTGGGCTCCGGCGCCTACGGCTCGGTCTGGTAGGGGCGGCGGGCAGGGCGCGGCGGCGCGGGCGGGACCGGAGCGCGCCCCCTCCCCCTCCCCCTCCCCTCCCTCCCCCGGCGGGCGGCGCGGCGTGGGGAGGGGCCTCGCGCGCCCCCGCCCCGGGCCATCCCGGCCGCGGCGGAGGATGGGGGCGGGGGCGGGGGCGGAAGGAAACTTTCCCCGGACGCGGCGCGGGGCTGCGGGGAGGGGTCGCCCCCCCCACCAGCGCCCCGAGGGCCCGTCCTGCGGCGTCATGGTCGGCGGAAGGGCGGCTCCCCGGGCCCTACACGCGTGAGAGTGCGCCTCGCCCCCAGGCAAGGGCCGGCACCCCGGGGTCTGGCAGGTGCGGTACCAGCCAGTACTTTTGTTTGCAAAAGAAAAGAGCCCAACTTGGGGGAGAGTAGGACCCCTCCCCTTGCAATGGCCTCCAACTCCGCGGCGGGTCCTGCCCCTCCCGTTTCCCAAGGGTCTCAGAGTCTGGATGGGGCCGAGGGCCCAGCAGAGATGCTTGCCGTCCCCCTACCATACTTGTGGGGTCGGCCTACACCCCACTCCATTTTTGCCCTAACCAGGAGAGCTCAGGCCACAGCCCGCACCTGGGCCCTGGGCCCCCGAGGACAGTCTGCAAGTGAGAGCGAGGAAGGGACTTGGCTGAGGCCTGTGTAGGGTTAGGGAGGCACTGGGGGGCTTAGGGTAAGGTGCTTACGGGAACTCGGTGTGCAGTTGCAATACTGACCAGCTGAGTGTGGATGTAGATGTTGAGAGGTGCTCCCCAAAACCAGTGGGGTCCTTCCCAAGGCCTCAGCCAGATGGCTGGGGAGGTCTTGGACATGGGGAGGCTGGAGCCCCTAGGGATGGGGCATTGCTCCTGGGGGACTTCCTGACCCCTCCAGGGGCTCAGTGCTGGGGCCTGGGGCAGGGCTGCTGCCCCTCCATCTGTTGTCACTGGCCGGCGTGTGGGAGGCCCCAGGCTGGCTGTCCTATGCATTCCAGCCTCAGGCCTGCCTTCATCCCCTAAGACTGACCTCAAAGGCAAGAAGAGGATCAGGACAGTGCATGGGTGGCCTCTGGGGAATATAGAGTCTTGCTGGAATCGCTTGGGTCCCTAGGGAGCATCACACTCCCCGGGGGAGCCCTGGGTCTCTCCCCACTGCCCGCACATGCCGGTGCTCCAGTGCAGGCGATGGCCCTCGCCTGGGCTCCCGTGTTCTGTGAAGCTGTGACCCAGTGCCCGTTTTTGTCACTCAATTGTGCAGACACAGTTGAGCAAAGGATCTGCTGCCCCACGTGAGGGGCCACTCCCCTGCTTGTGTCCCCAGAAGGGACGTGGACCTTCCCCCAAAAGCTACAGCCTGGAGTAAGGGGCATGGAGGCCCGAGACACCTACTGGGTTTCCTGCACCCCTGCCCCGGGCCCCGTGAGCACCCCAGGTGCTGCAGGAGCCACTCCCCATGTAGACAGCACGCACTCCTGGGGGAAGCACAATTCTAGAGGGTGCAGGTAAAGGAGAGGGAGGGAAGGGCCGAGCAGCAGCCAGGACCTGGTCCCTGTAAAGATAGGATGCCTAGTGCGGTCCCAGGGCCAGGCCGGTGACTCTGGGAGGGCCCAGAGGTGACAGGCTGTTTGCGTGTGGAGACGATGTTTCCGTGCAGAGTGGAGGGGTGTGGAAGCTGGTGTGCAGTGGAACTTCTGGAACTTGGGGGGTGGGGCGGGCCCAGGGGAACGTTCTGTGGGTCCAGACACCACTCTCTGCTGAACGCTTCGTATAGTCCAGTTTCTCACTCTTAGAAATAATAACACAGTAAACGTTTTCAGCTAGCTTTTTGTCCATATTTTGAATATTCAGAGGTGGGGGGTCGAGGGGCTCTGGAGGTAGCTCTGGAACCCGGGGGGGCCTCCACGAGTGGTGGGCCCGTAGGGGAGCAGGAGGACTGGGGTGAAAGGGGATGGTTCACAATGTCTGTTTTCCTGACCTGGTTGGTGGAGTCTGTCCCCCAGCCTCATGCTGGGTTGTGGGGAGAAGATCCAGATCCTGCCCCATGGGTCCCAGGCGGGGCAGGCAGGGACCCGATGGCCGGGATGCATGTGGGAAGGGGGGCTGGAGAGTGGGTGCCCCTTGAGGAACGAGGCAGAGGAGAGGCTCCCCAGGTGCTGGACTCGGGCTGGCCACACGGACAGCGGTCCACCTGAGGGGCTCTCGGAAAAAGGCGGGGGCCCGGGGTGCACGACCGGCCCCCACCCCACCCCCTCACTCACCCACCTTGCAGCTCGGCCTACGACACGCGGCTGCGCCAGAAGGTGGCGGTGAAGAAGCTGTCACGCCCCTTCCAGTCGCTGATCCACGCGCGGAGAACTTACCGCGAGCTGCGCCTGCTCAAGCATCTGAAGCACGAGAATGTGAGCCTGGAGCGCCGGGGCAGGTCAGCGGGGTGGGGGTGGGGCACACACATGGGGCCCACAGCCCCAGGGCGCCTCGCCGAGTCCTGACGCCCGTCCCCATGCAGGTCATCGGGCTGCTGGACGTGTTCACGCCGGCCACCTCCATTGAGGACTTCAGCGAAGTGTGAGTGGCAGCTGATGCGGGGCTCAGGAGCACATTGGGGGGGCTGTCTGCTGACCCCTGACCCCTCCCAGGTACCTGGTGACCACCCTGATGGGCGCCGACCTGAACAACATCGTCAAGTGCCAGGCACTGAGCGACGAGCACGTCCAGTTCCTGGTTTACCAGTTGCTGCGAGGCCTGAAGGTGGGCGCGCGTGGGGGGCGCGGGGTGGGCCGTGCTGGCCGGCACCTGACGCTCCCACGGTCTCCCCCTCGCAGTACATCCACTCCGCGGGGATCATCCACCGGGTAGGTGCACCGCCAGAGAGGGCGGGCTTGTGCAGGCCCAGCGCCCCGCTCCTCCCGCTCACGCCCCACCTCCCCTCCAGGACCTGAAGCCCAGCAATGTGGCCGTGAACGAGGACTGCGAGCTCAGGGTGAGCGGCCCGCTGGAGAGGGCCCGCGGGCCGGTGCGGGGGGGGGCTTTCAGGGAGGTGCTGATGAGCCCGGGGGTCGCCCTAGATCCTGGACTTCGGGCTAGCCCGCCAGGCTGATGAGGAGATGACCGGCTACGTGGCCACGCGCTGGTACCGCGCACCTGAGATCATGCTTAACTGGATGCACTACAACCAGACGGGTGAGGCCTGCGCGGGCGGGGCAGACATGTTGCGTTAGGGCCTGGGCGGCGTCTGTGTCCAGGCCTGAGCCCAGGCAAGGTCCAGGGCCGTCACTCGAGCGCAGCGGGTCCGGGGCTAACTGCCCCTTGCCCAGAGTTGTATCTAGGGGAGTAAGGGCTCTGCTGGTTGGGGGCCTGGGTGTGACCAGGGTGCGGCACAGTCTGCACGGCCCTACTTCTCGGGGAGGGGGCCGGACTTGGGGCAGGCGAACTAACGGAGACTCCTTCCCCCACAGTGGATATCTGGTCTGTGGGCTGTATCATGGCTGAGCTGCTCCAGGGAAAGGCCCTTTTCCCAGGAAATGACTGTATCCTTGGGCCAGGTTGGGGAGGGGGGTGAGCCCGGGTCCCCTTCTGCTGGGTGGGGCTCCGTGGAGGTGGGCACGGGCCCTTTCTGGCCGGCCTTGCCTCCTGGCCCCACGCTATGCCAGCCGGGGCCCTCTGACGCCCGCTGCGGGAGGGCAGCCTGGGATCTGTGCACCGGGAGGGGCCTACTCCTGGCTGGAGGGCGTTTCCTCAGCCTGGCAGACATTGACCAGCTAAAGCGGATCATGGAGGTGGTGGGCACGCCCAGCCCTGAGGTGCTGGCCAAGATCTCCTCGGAGCACGTGAGTCAGCAGCCCCCGGAGCCCCCATGAACCAGGCCCCTGGGCGTGCTGGGGAGCAGCCCGGCAACCGCGCGGGAAACGGGGGTCCCAGCGGAACAGAGCCCGATGCAGGGCCTGACCCTGTCGGGGAGAAACAGGTGGACAGGGAAGGCGTCCCTGGCGCGAGGGACGGGGAGGGTAAACCCTGCGCTCTGGCAAACGGGGCCGCGGCCAAGGACGGGGGCTGCTGCGGGCACCGAGAGCCAGGTAAGGCGCTGGAGCCACCACGTCCAAAGCAGGGGCACCTCTGGTCTGTGTACCTTCCTGGCCTGGCCTGTCGGAGGCCGCTCCCCGAATTCCCCGGGGCTGCCTTTGGGTCGGGGGAGGCAGGGTGTGAGCCGCGCCCTCAGGCCCCTCCTGCTGCCCCCAGGCCCGGACATACATCCAGTCTCTGCCGCCCATGCCCCAGAAGGACCTCAGGAGCATCTTCCATGGAGCCAACCCCCTGGGTGAGGACGGGCCCTGGGCCGGGCTGGGCTCTGTGTCTCGGCCTGGATGCACCCCTGACCGCCCCTCGCACTGGCCGCTCTAGCTGTGGACCTCCTGGGAAGGATGCTGGTGCTCGACAGTGACCAGAGGGTCAGCGCGGCCGACGCCCTGGCCCACGCCTACTTCAGCCAATACCATGACCCCGACGACGAGCCCGAGGCCGAGCCCTACGACGAGAGCATGGAGGCCAAGGAGCGCACGGTGGAGGAGTGGAAGGGTGGGCTCGAGGGGGCCCGGCTGGGAGGGGTGGAGCGGGGGGCCCCGAGGGCTAGGGGCTGCCCGTTTCCTGCTGGGGGGGCAGGTGGACATGGGGTTGAGCGTGTCCAGCAGAAGCTTGGGGGCAGCCCAGGGCAGACCCCGGGAGGAAGCCCGGAGGCGGAGGCTGCGTTCGGGGTGCTGGGCCCGAGTGGGGCGGTGGGCCAGTGGCCGCAGGGCTCACCCTGTCCCCTTCCCCCCAGAGCTCACCTACCAGGAGGTCCTCAGCTTCAAGCCCGCAGAGCCACCGCAAGCGCCCGGCAGCCTGGAGATCGAGCAGTGAGGAGCCTGTGCCACCAGCCGCTCCAGCGGGGGCAAGAGCATGCTGGCTACTTCCTCAGCCCACCGCATGCCCACGAGGGGCCACAGCACCATGGCCACAGCCCCGCCCCCAGCCTGGGATCCCGCCCACATGCTGCTCCTCATGGGCCGTCTCTGTGTGCATGTGAATGCACACGTGTGCGTGTGTGCAAGCTGCGGGTGGAGTCTGCACCTCTGGAACCCCTTGGTCCTCCTGCCTCCTCCCGATCCTCTGGGTCTTCCTTAGGGCCTTGCCAGGATGCCCGAGGGGCTCTCCTCTGTCCCACAGGGCCGTCTCGGGCAAGTGTGGCACACGGGGGCCAGAGCCCTCTGGAGACTAGGGGACGCCTCTGCTGTCAGAGCTTCTCAACTTGGAAGCGTGGGGCACCCCTGGGAGATGCTGAGGCCCCATGGCCTGAAAGCTGAGCAGGGTCTTCCCTGAAGGTCACAGGGCAGGGACGGCCGCAGGCTGTCATCAGAGAGTCATCCTGGAGCCAAGTGTCCCCCTGTACTGTGAGTGGCACGTGTGCACCGCTGTGTGTTCCTGGTATTTACGTGTCGAGGCACCTGCAGGCGGGTGTGTCTGTGGGTGCCCACGGGCTGCTGCCACGACCAGCAAGAAGCTTCCAGGGAGGCGGCTGTACTGTTCCATCCCCCTCCTCGGTTCCCGATGGGGGGAGGGTGCCGCTGCCCAGGCCCTGGGTGCTCAGTGCGGGGGCTCCCGTGGGCTAGGGGCAACTGGTGAACAAAAGCCAGGGCTTCCTCCTTGTGTGCGGGGGCTGCAGCAGGCACCAGGAGCCCCCCAAGTTGGCCCAGGGGCTCCAGCCTGGTGGGGAGCTGCACACTCGGGCTCAGACCCTGGACCTTGGCCGGAGCTGAGGAGGAAGCCTCTGCTGATACCTCTGCACCCCACCCCCTCCGGCCCTGCACACCGCGGCTGGGGTCAGCTCTCGCCCTCCTTTCTTCCAGGATGGGCTGACCTGGCAACCTCTGGGACAGGACTCAGCTCAAGATGTGTTGGGGTGTGGGTCTCCGTCGTGGGGCCTCTCCGTGAGGGGTGGTGTTGTCTGTGTCGGGGCAACCTCCCACCTTGCAGAGGTCTCAATGTCAAGTGCCTGCACCAGGGTTTCACAATAAAGAGGGTTCTCTCTCTCAGGCTGCTTGTCTCCCAAGTCTGTGCCCTGCTGCTTGGACGGGGTGGCTTGGCCTGTGCATTGCCCCCCTGGTCAGGCCCCACCCGGCCTGGTCTCCAGTCAGACAAGCAGCCGCATACAGCACAGCGCCTCCCTGTTCCTGGGAGCCGGGGGGCGTCGGGGTCTGCACCCAGGCTAATGGGCTCCGAGCAGGGACAGGGCATGACAGCTGTCCGGCCGTCCGCACATAAAGCCCAGCTGCCCGGCTGAGGAATGCATGGGGCCGGCTCAGCTTCTGGTCCTCGTGCAGGCCCGCCCCTTCTCTCAGTGGTCAGGGAAGCCGCCCGGGGACAGCTGGGGCTCTCTGGGAGCAAAGACGTGTCTGCCCCTGGAGCCTGGGAGGGTGGGGAAGAGAGCTTTCCTCTCTTTCGTATTGGGCGGGGGGGGCGGGGAAGGGAACCCTTGCTTCAGCCCTCGGGACACACCCTGAGCTACTAGCTCCTGCCCACTGCCGCTTGGGTGAGGACGGGTCCTGGTCTGGGCAGGGGTCAGGGACATTCATGCCCTTGTTCTGGGTCTTAGGGGTTGCAGACCCTCTGGGAGTTGGACCACCAGGGGCCTGGTTGGGGCGGCTGCTGGGCCTCAGGTCCTGGGGAACCCTTGAAGACCAGGCTGGACCAAGTTCCGTGGGAGGGGCAGCGGACAGGAGCAGAACTGGGATGCACCCCCCGGGGACACATTGCCATACCCCGGGCCCCCCATGGGGAGGAAGCAGCCAGCAAGGGGCTCCTGGGAAATGCAGGGGGATTGCCCAGTCAGCCCCAGGCGTGAAGGGCACAGGTGATTGTGGCTGTAGTGGCCCAGGCCGCTCTCTCCGGCTGGTCTCCAAGTCCTGCAGTCCTGCGGAAGCCCAGGTGGAAAGCTGCTCTGGCCCCTCTGAGCTGCTGATTCATGGTGGCCGGCAGGGCAGAGGGAGGGGAGGGCCCCTGGGGATCCTGTTACCCTGGACCTGGGTCCCTGAGCTGGGCAGGTCGTGGAGGGGGCTCTGTCCTCCAGGAGCATCCGGTCCGGGATGTGGCCAGACCCGTGGAAGGACGATGCCCCACCTAGGGGTCAGGGGGGCCCTGAGAGGCCAAGTAGGGCCCTCCTTCACCCCTGGGGGTCAAGTCTGGAGAGAGAGGGGAGGCTCAGGCCAGGCTCAGGATGGTCAGGAGGGAGTAAGCTGGGTGGAAGGTGGCCAGCAGGGAGCTGGGTGTGCCTGGGGGCCCAAGGGAGACCTACACCACCACCCTCTCTGGCGCCGGGGCGCGGTGGTCACACGGAGGGGTGTTGGGGATGCAGCCTAAGTTTGGGAGACAGAACCAGCTCCTCCCCAAGGAGAGGGGGATGCAGGCAATAGGTGCTGGGGAGGCAGGGGGTGGGGGCCCACCATGGGACGGGGATGGATCAGCCCCAGGGGAAGGGGCTGTCCCGCAAGGTGGGCAGGTGACAAGGGGGACACAGGAATGGGGCCTGGGTTACACGGTGGAGGTGGCCAGGCCGTGGCCAGGAACTTGCAGCTGGGACTGGGTGCGCTCGGGCTGCGCAGCAGGGGGGCCCAGCTCCGCGGGGGTGTGGCCCGGTGACCCAGGGGCATCTGCTCAGACACCGCGGGGATCGGGCTCTGGGGGCGCGCCCTGCCTTCCGGCCCCCCCCCCCCCCCCCCTCCTCGGGTTTCCGTGGGGCGGGCGGGGGCGTCACGTGTGCGCGGCCCGGGGGCCGGTTGGTCCGCGGCGGGGGCGGGACTGCGGGCCGGGCCGGGGGCAGGCGGGGGGTCGTGGCGCGGGACAGCCGCGCAGGGAGGGAGGGAGGGAGGGGAGGCCCGCGGTGCCCGGCGCGCGAGCAGGTGCGGCGACCCGGTCCCGGGCTCGGGGCGCGGTGGGGGGGGGCGCCCCGGGCACCATGAGCTCCCCGCCGCCCGCCCGCAGGGGCTTCTACCGCCAAGAGGTGACCAAGACGGCGTGGGAGGTGCGCGCAGTGTACCAGGACCTGCAGCCCGTGGGCTCGGGCGCCTACGGGGCCGTGTGGTGAGCGCTGTGTGGTGAGCGCGGGCGGCCGGCGGCGGGGCGGGGGGTGCGCGGGGGCGGCCGCTGAGCAGGGCGTCCCGCAGCTCGGCTGTGGACAGCCGCAGCGGCGCCCGGGTGGCCATCAAGAAGCTGTACCGGCCCTTCCAGTCCGAGCTGTTTGCCAAGCGCGCCTACCGCGAGCTGCGCCTCCTCAAGCACATGCGCCACGAGAACGTGAGTCGGTGCCCCCGGGTTAGGCTGGGCGGGGCTCACCCCGGGAGGTGGGGGGGGACACTCGCTGGGCCGGCACCCTCACTCGGCCCAGCTCTGCCTCCCCAGGCCGCGGTGGTCCCGGAAGGGGCGCCGTCACCCGGCTGGGCATCCCCCACAGCTGCACCCTGGGCCCCCCTGCACCCCGGGCCGTGGGCCACAGTCTGCCCAGCTGGGCGCCAAGCAGAGGTTGCCCCGTGGTTAGGGGCTAAGGGCGGCCGTGGAGAGCCGAGGCCAGGTGGCCAGCCCAGGGTCGCCTCGCTCCAGGGTGGCAGATGTGCAGCCCCACCCGCAAGGGCCTCCCTTGATACCTGACCTGCCCTTGGGGCACCGTGTGCTGCCACGGCCTGTGTGCCCATTGCTGGCTGCTGAGCCCTGGTCTGTGTCCTGGGGGGCCTCCCCGACCGAGCTCTGCCCTCTGCACAGCCCACCCCGCATCACCGCATCACCCCCGGATCAGGCTGTCTCAGGGCTGCTGGGCATCTCAGGGCTGCTGGGCAGGGGGGCGGGGTACCCTTACGGATGGCCCGGCTCTAGGTCATCAGCCTCCCTCCTCGGGGGAAAACGAGTCCCGGGTCCCCTGGGCTCCTGGCCGATGGCGCTGCAGCGGGTGCTTCACTCACGCAGACTTCTGCCTCTGCCCCTGGGCCTCCCCAGGGACATCCCTTCATGCGGACGCCAGCCCAGCTCCGACCTCACCAATTCCTGGTTTCCTAGTCAGGCCCAGCTGGCTCCCCGTGGCGGCAGCCTCCCCCCCAGCTGCCCCCCGGCTCCTGCCCTCAAGATCTCAGGGCGGCCTGCTCCGTCACCTCCCACCCTTGCCGCATCTCCTCCTCTGCACCATCTCAGTTGAGCTCCTGACCTCCTGGCAGCCGGTGCCACTGCCTCGGGGTGCCCTGCACATGGCTGACTGTGACCCCGGTGCCCTGGGAAGACACTGAGGCCATGAGAGGCAGAGTGCTGGCCGGGTCCTGCCCTTCCACCCACACCTGGCACCTTCTCCCTTCCCTCCCTCTACTTAAGGCCAGAATCCACAGGGGCACAGATTCCTCTCCACGTGACAGACCCCCCCCCGACCCTCGGGGACCCTGCCCTCCATCCCCTTCTTGCCAAGACACTCTCCCGGTGGCCCAGGCCCCTCACCGGACATCCCTCTATGTTCTGTCCTCCCCTGTGCCTGTGACTCTGGCCCTGGTGGCTCAGTCACCTAGTTGTCCCTGCCTCACTCCCATCTGTCCCCACACAGCAGGCATCGCACCTGTTTAAACCCCTTCTCGGCAGCTCTTAGGATCAAGGCCAAACCTTCACCTGGCAGGCGAGGGCCCGCCCGGCTCCCTCCGGCCTCTCCTTGGCTACTCCCTGGCCTGGGCCTCAGCCACCTGGCCTTTCTCCCCGTGTTCCTCAAACGCTTCAAGTGTCCTCCCTTCTGCCTCGGCCCTCGTTTGCCTGGCCTCTGCCAGGTGTCCCCCCGCTGGCACATCCACCTGCCCCTCTGGCCACTCAGCCATACAGGCCTCCTGGGGCTCCACGGGGCCGGGTCTAGCCGTTGCCTTGGTTGTCGTGCCGCCTGCCTGGGCCTCACTGGCAGAGCCAGAGCTCCCTGATGGGCCTGCTGGGTGCTGGCTCTCCCCTGGGAGGCTGTCCCACCCTGCTGTCAGGTCTTCAGTGGGCATGAGAAGAGGTGGGGGAAGGGCCAGGGGGCTGGAGTGCCTTGGATGGCTGGGAGCTGACCCAGACTTGGGACCGCCCCTCCCCCAGAGGATCCCTGCAGTCACCATTCAAAAATAGTCTGTGTCTATGGGCATGTGTGCCAGGGCTAGGCTGTCCTGCCAGTAGGACGGTGGGGGGACACGGGGACAGCTGTAGGGGGCTTTCCCGCCTGGGGCGCCGTGCCGCCTCGGGGTGTACCTGACCCCGTGCCCTCTGCCAGGCCCCCACTCCACCAGGTACTCCGGCCTCCCCCCAGGTCATTGGGCTGCTGGACGTGTTCACTCCTGATGAAACCCTGGATGATTTCACAGACTTGTGAGTGTGGCCCCGGGGCAGGCTGCTTAGGGCAAGGGAGTGTTGGGTTGCTCCTGGGTGCTGACTCGGGTTCCTCATTGGTCTGTGGGTGTCCCTGCAGCCTGAGTGGGGGTCCCTTCCCTGCACCACAGTCTGCCCCCTGCCACATGCCCCCTGGGACCCATGGCCCTGGCACAGTGGGTGGGCCCTGGGCCTCCTGCCCCCACGCCTGGCGCAGGGCCCTCTCCAGTGCTGGGCGTGCAAGTGTGGGGCCTGCATCTGTCATTGGCAGGTCCCGTGCTCTGGGACCCTGGCATCGGACATGGCCTGTAACTAGAGCCGCTGACCTTTGTTGGCAGGCAGGGGAGGGGCGGCGGGAGGCCTGCCCGAGGCTGCCCTCCCTGGGCTCCTACTGTGGTCGGGCCGGCCGAAAGCCAGGGGCTGAGCCTGGGAAGGGCTGAGGACAGGCTCCTCGCCGTCTGACCTTGTAGAGGTCAAGGACCCAGAGGCCTCTGTCCCGGCGAGGTGCTAAATGTCTGTCCTCGGGTCTCTCTCCCTCCACCTGCCCAGTCTGCCTCTCTGACCATGTGTCCTGCTGTCCCCGCCCCTACCTGCAGGCCTTCCTTTCTCTTGCACCCTCTTTTGCCTGTGATCCCTGGTGCTCCCCAGATCCCAGCCTCCATGTGCCCTGCAGGGAGCACCACAGTGTGGTCCTGACGAACCTGACATTCTGGGGCTGGGTGGGAGGAAGAGCTGCGGGGGGGCACTGGACAGGTGGGTGGAGCCTGGTGCTACGGGGCGATCTCCGGGGTCTCCAGTGGGTGCGACACCTGCTGTCTGCACCACCTGTCCCCTCAGTTACCTGGTGATGCCATTCATGGGAACTGACCTGGGCAAGCTCATGAAGCACGAGAAGCTGAGTGAGGATAGAATCCAGTTCCTTGTGTACCAGATGCTGAAGGGGCTAAAGGTGGGAGAGGGGGTGTGGGAGGGCAACCCCCTCAGGCCAGGCTGGGGCTGGGGAGCATGCTGCTCCCAGAGAGCTGACCGCCGCGGACCCTATCTCTGTCCCCATAGTACATCCACGCTGCTGGCATCATCCACAGGGTGAGTCCTGGCGGGAGCCTCCTTTGCAGGGAGGCGCGGGGGGCCCTGAGCTCCAGGACCCCTGTGCTGGGGTCCAGTGGGGAGTGTGTGTGATGCCTGCACGCAGCTGTGGGTCCCCAGGGACCTTCACCCGCCCTGGAAGGGCTGCGGCCGGGGCTGGCCCAGTGTGGCTGCTCCCCCATTCAGGTGCCCCGGCCATGCCCTTGTGCCCCCCTGGGGGCAGGGACCACACGGCCATGCTTCCTCTGTCCCCAGGACCTGAAGCCCGGCAATCTGGCAGTGAATGAGGACTGTGAGCTGAAGGTGTGTGTTGGGGGGAGGTGGGGGGCAGGGGGTCTCCTCACCTGTCCATCTGCCGGTTGCCCTTGGCCTTCAGGCAGAGGGACCCAACCCCCGCTGTCCAGGCCAGGAGGGCATCGGGCACACGCCATACCTCAGGAGGTGAAGGGCGGGAGGTGTCCCCAGGCCCCCAGCCTGAGCCAGGGTAGGGCCAAGGGGGCCTCTCCAATGTGCTGGCCAGGTCCCGGGGTCAGTGGGGAGCAGAGCAGCAGGGAAGGAGACCCACGGGGCGCTGCTCCTGAGGGTGGTGGAAGCCAGGTCAGTGGGGCTGGGCATGCTGGCCACACAGAGGAGCTCACGGGGAGGCTCAGGGAGTCCGTGGCCAGGACCTCGGGTCCCGGAGGGTTGGCAGGAGGCCCAGTGTGCCCAGTTCTGGGTCACAGGCTGGCCCACCTACTCCCGGGGGCCCCGGGCCCCGCCTTCCCGGTTCCCACCAGATCCTGGACTTCGGCCTGGCCAGGCAGGCAGACAGCGAGATGACTGGCTACGTGGTGACCCGGTGGTACCGGGCGCCTGAGGTCATCTTGAACTGGATGCGCTACACGCAGACAGGTGGGGTGCTGCCCAGAACCACCCCCAGCCGTGGCCTCCCAGGTGGCGCCGCCGCTGCCCCTCTTCAGGGGAAGCCCCACAGTGGCTCCTCGCAGGGGGCGGCTGCACGGGGATGGGAGCCAGGCGAGGGGTGGAAGGCTGGACTGCCGCTGTGTCTGTGTCCCTCCCCACGCATGTCCCTCCCTCCCTGGCCCACGAAGCGCTGACATGGGGCCTCTGTCTCAGTGGACATCTGGTCCGTGGGCTGCATCATGGCAGAGATGATCACGGGGAAGACACTGTTCAAGGGCAGTGACCGTATCCTACACATGTGGGGGGCCGGGCTGGGCCTGGGTGGGTGCTGCCCCAGCTGGGGGGGAGCCCCACTCTCTGGCCCGTGCTATGCTCCTCACCTCAGCACAGACCTGGACCAGCTGAAGGAGATCATGAAGGTGACAGGGACGCCTCCCGCCGAGTTCGTGCAGAGGCTGCAGAGTGCCGAGGTCACTTGGGAGCTGGGTGCAGGCAGCGGGGCTGGGCCGGGGCTGTGGCGTGGCCCCTCACCCTTTCTTCCTGAAAAGGCGAAGAACTACATGAAGGGCCTCCCTGAGTTGCAGAAGAAGGATTTTGCCTCCATCCTGACTAATGCAAGCCCCCTGGGTAGGACGGGACTCAGGGGAGCTGGGTCAGTGACTCGGGCAGTGGGCCCTGGGCCCTCCCTGACTGGCGCTGCCCACAGCCGTGAACCTCCTGGAGAAGATGCTGGTGCTGGACGCAGAGCAACGGGTGACGGCGGCCGAGGCGCTGACCCACCCATACTTCGAGTCCCTGCAGGACACGGAGGAGGAGCCCAAGGCCCAGAAGTACGACGAGTCCTTTGATGATGTGGACCGCACGCTGGATGAGTGGAAGCGTGAGTGGGGGGCTCTGGGCAGGGGCGGTGGCTGGACCCTGTGAGCCCAGCACAGGTGGTCAGGGCTCAGAGCCCCGGGTCCCCCGACCTTGGGACGCAGGCCCGGTGAGGAATACAGCAGACGGCCAGCGGGCAGGGGGCTTCTTGGCCAATGGGCCCTCTGACCGGAGCTGAAGGATGAAAGAACGTTCCGGGCAGGGGGTTCAGCACAAACAAGTGCAGAGGAGAGTTCTGGAAACTGGGTGGCAGCCCCCAGGTGCGGGCAGTTGTGAGCACTTACCCTGCAGGCCCGGCCCCAGTGCTGGCCAGAGACCCGGGCCATCCTGCGGCCCTTCTGCACCCCCTTTTGCCCCAGACTTCCACTCTCACCTCTTGAACTTCTCGTGGCCTCTCTTTGCCCCGCTTTCCTTTTTAAAGATCTACATGTTAAGAGAGCGCAAGTGAGAGTGTGTGCGCTCGGGCACCAGGCAGGAAGGGGCAGAGGGGGGCAGAGGGTTTCAAGCAGATTTTGCTGAGCGTGGAGCCTGACTGATGGGGGCTCATCTCACGACCCTGAGCTCATGACCTGAGCCAAAACCAAGAGTTGGACGCTCGACGGACCGAGCCAGCCCGGCTCCCCTTTGCCCCTTTGAGGACCCGACCCCGGACAGCTGCACGCCCCTCCGTCCAGCCAGCAGGCCGAGCTCCCCACAGCAGTCTCCTCTGCACTTGCCCCCTCGTCCCACTGAGCGGCTCCGACCCACCTAAGCCTGCGCCCAGCACCGCCCGGCTTTGCCCTGGCTCTTTCCTTCCACCACAGCCCCCCGCTCAACTCCTCAGCTCTGGGCCCAAGTGGCACATGCTGAGCTTCAGGCTGGGCTCAGGGACACCTGCCCGGGCCCCGGGCCTCTGCCGCAGCCCTGCAACCCGTGCTGGAACTGGCTTTGCAGGACAGCAGGCAGCGAGGGCTGGGCTCGGTGTCCCTCTCTTGGTGGCTGCGGGACCAGCCTGCAGGGGCCGGCGTGGGTGAGGGCGGCGGCGAGCACCGTCCGGCCATGGCTTGTGGCTGCCACTGAGTCTTGGGCTGTCTTGGCTCTGAGTCAGATGTGGGGCCTTGGTGCTGCTCACGGGGTGGAGGTGCTTCTCAAATCATGGTGCTCAGCCGCCGGTGTGCCAGGTGCCTCCCGCAGGGCTTCACCCCATTCGTGCTTGTGCGTTTGGTTTGGTTGGATGAAAGCTTTCTGTTGCTAAAAAAGATAACTAGAAAACCGCGGGCCACAGAGTCCTCTCCGTGGTCTCCACCCACACGAACTGTGGGAAGAGCTTTTGCTTTTACTGCAGACCACGGTGAACACATGATCCGTTTGTGGTTGAGCCCCCGGTCAGGAATGCAAGCCTCATTCCCTCCCGTTTCCCTGGGAGCAGCCAGCTGCACGCAGACCTTCCTTGTGTGGCCTGAGCCCCATGTTAGGATTAGACAGAGGGCCCGGGGGTACCCGCGGGGGGACACATCCATGCAGCAGGCAAACCCCATAGATCTCCTGCTCCTCACGCAGTTTCCTGCCCTGGGCACGGGGAGTACTGGTGTCCCCCCGACAGGTGCTCCCTGGGCAGGTGAGCATGGGATCGCCAGGCTAGGCCGAGCAGAACCCGTCCCTCTGCACATGGGTCGGGGGGAAAGCAAAGCAGGCCTCTCCCTTCCTTGGGGATGGCTCGCTCTGGCCACACATTTCAGGGAACGTGACCACCAGGTGTTTGGTGGCAATTCTTCTCATTTAAGTTTCTGTGGATGTTCCGGGTCCAGAAACTGGGGTGTGTTCTGGGGGGTCCTGAGTGGCTCCACTTGTAGAGACACATTGCCTTCTATTCTTAGGACTACTCATCACAACAGGCTCTGGGCCCAGGCCTGCCTGGCCACGCCACGGGCAGTGGGTTTGGGTTATAGGAGCCCCATTGGGGTGGATAGTTCATGTGGGGGGACACAGGGGGGCCGAGGGGGGCTGTGGCCTGGGATGAAGTTGCGTGTGTGGCACCCGCACTCCCGCAGCGACTTCTGACCCTGATGTTTTGGAGATCAGGTGGGCCCTGAGCTCAGTGCTAACAGGCTGTGCTCTGGGCCTGGGAGCTCTCCCCACCCCCACCGAAAGCCACCTCCCAGGACTCAGAGCTGGTCAGGGCAAGCATCAGTGAGCTGGGCCCAGCGCTCTTCCTGGGTCGCTGGCTTTCCCCCAGGTGTGAATTGTAGGAGGCGCTTGTGAGGGGTGCTGAGGCCCCTTCTCCCATGATGGCTTTCTCTCTCACCTCGCCCCAGGTGTCACATATAAAGAAGTGCTCAGCTTCAAGCCTCCCCGGCAGCTGGGGACCAAGGTCTCCAAGGAGACAGCCCTGTGAAGACCCCTGGGCCCCCGAGAGTGGTGGTGAGGACGCCTTGGGGATCGTGGCTGGGGCTTCTACTGGAAGGGGGATACTGCTTATCACCGTGGCCTGGCCGGGGGCTTCCATCCCAGGAGACCTCTCGTTCGTGGACCCCCTCCTCCAGGCCTGTTACGCTGCTCTCAAGGCTCCCACATCAGCCTCACCTTGGGGAGCATCTGGACCTTCTGGACAGGATGTCAGCCTCACCTGGGACTGGCCTCTGACTCCCGAGCAGTGTCCCCCCCTCCCCAGGTGCGACAAGGAGCCCCAGAGCCTGTGTAGGGGTGAGGCTTGGGGTCACGGCCTGGCCCCCACCTTGTCTGCTCCAGCCCCTGCTGAAGGCCACTTCATAAAGCAGAGAGGACCCAGAGCGCCTCCTCAGGTGTCTCTCCTGGGGGCGTTGGTGTGGACTCCCCTATACTCCCACCCGGAATGGGCTACACCCATGTGGCTGGAAGCCAATAAACCCTTTTGCAGAGATCCCACTCAGCTCTCCTAATTCTCAGGCTGGCTCTCCACCTCCGGATTGGGGGGTGGGCAGGGCCTGGGTGCTGCTCGGCCCTGCAGGCACCCGCTTCCTCCCAGGCCCGCAGTGGGCTGGTGCTTGGTGCTCCAGGGGCCTGGCCCTCCTGCAGCTGACTTTCCTCTGCGGCTTTCCCTCTGGAGGAGACCCCAGGCCTGATGGGGGCAGGTGTGACCCGGGGCTCCTCTGAGCTCCCTGCACTGTCCATGGCCAGGTTCCTAGCGAGCAGTGGTCACGCTCCCCGCACAGCATGAGGAGAGGTTCTGGGGTCTCCCCGCATCTCCTGCCTCTCTGCCGGCCGCACCCCAGCACCTCCGACCTCACACAGCCCTCTGCCGGCTGGTGGACGGCTCGGGAGGTGACGCTGGGGCACCGGCTTCCCGGACCCTTGGTGTGCCGCCCTGCCCCTCCCACCAGTGCGCCCAGAGCGGCCGCCCAGCCGAGTGTGGTCAGACAGGCTGCCGAAGTGGACAGCGGCCTTCTCTGCTCAGGGCACCATGGGGAGTGGGGTGGTCCACGCAGGCCCTGAGGCTGCGTGGCCCAGGGTGACCACTTGGTGCGCCGGCCACGGAGGTTGGCTCGGGGTGGGCACTGACCCCAAGTGAGCCAATCGCAGCCTCCCTGGAGCTAGTGGGACGTCCACCGCCCGCTGGCAGGTGCCTCATCAGTGGCAGGTGCCTCATCAGGTCGTGGGGACCCCAAGGGCAGCGGGGGGCACAGGGCCCTCTTGGGGCCGCCGCTGCAACCCCACCATCGCGGAGGTCGCCCCCCACCCCCCCCCACCATGGTCCTCGCACACGATGCAGCCCCGGGGGCGTTTCTGAGTCGGGCCTGGGCCCTCCCTCGCCCCTGTTCGCCGAGCCCTGGCCCGGACGGGCCCTGCGCAGCGGGACGCGATGGGCTGCGCGGTCGGCGCGTGGCTGGGGGAGATTTGGGGCGGCCGGGCACACTCGGTGGGGTCCCCGCGACAGTCCGCGGGGTCCGGGGCACGCGGGCCGTCGGCCCTCCTCCCACCCCGCCCTCCTCCTCCTCCTCGTCCTCCTCCTCCTCTCCCGGCCCCTCCTCCCCCCGCCCTTCCTCCTCCCCCCGCCCTTCCTCCTCCCCCCGCCCTTCCTCCTCCCCCCGCCCCCCCTCCTCCCCTCCCCCTCCTCCCAGCCCCCGGCTCCGGGCTGCAGGAGGAGGAGGTGGAGCCGAGCCTGGAGCGCGGAGAAGGAGCGTCTGGGCCGCCCCGCTCGGGTCCCGCGGCGCTCGGGGGCCGGTCCGGGGCGGCAGGGGCGGGGCGGGGAAGCCGGAAGCCCGTCCGGAGGAGGGAGCCGCCGCGGCCTGGGTGCTGCGCGTTCCCGCCCAGGCTCCGCGCCGTCCCAGCTGCGGCCCGGGGTCGCCGACCCCCCAGGGACCCCCTCAGGGTGGTGGGACCATGGGGACCGCGCTCGTGTACCATGAGGACATGACAGCCGCGCGGCTGCTCTGGGAAGAGTAAGTGTGACCTGGCGGGGGGCGGGGGGCTGCGCAGGGGGGCCGGGCCCTGAGCTCCGTGTCCACGCAGCCCCGAGTGTGAGATCGAGCGACCCGAGCGCCTGACCGCAGCCCTGCGGCGCCTGCAGCAGGGGGGCCTGGAGCAGAGGTGCCTCCAGCTGGCCCCCCGAGAGGCCTCCGAGGCGGAGCTGGGCCTGGTCCACAGGTCAGACCCCCAGGAGCCACACGCCCCAGGAGGCCGCCCGGGCCCTGCCTGCCCGCATCTTGGAAACAGTTTCTCCCCTACTTGTTTCTCCACTGGGTGGGTGGGTGGGTGGGTGAGGGAACGGGGGGAGGGGACAGTCCTACCAGGGTCCAGTCCCCCTTTTCCTCCCTGTCCTGCTCCTGCTGGTGACCCTGCGTCCCCTGCCTGCCCCCTGCAGCCCAGAGTACGTGTCCCTGTTGCGAGGAACCCAGGCCTTGGACACCCAGGAGCTGCAGGCGCTGTCGGGACAGTACGATGCAGTCTACTTCCACCCGGTGCGGCCCTGGGGACCCACCTCCCACCCAAACGTGCATCCACGTGCCTCTGCCCACTGTGTGCCGATATCCCCACGTTCATCAGCGTGCAAATGCCCTGCATACTGTGCCCGCTGCTGCTGCGGGGACCTGACACTAGCCCCCGTTCTGCTGAGCGCTGGTGCCCCGCAGCTGGGCACAGGCCTGGGCAGAGGCAGTGAGGTGTAGCGGGTGGCAGCTCATTTGCACCCCTCCCCCGCAGAGCACCTTCCACTGCGCCCGGCTGGCCGTGGGGGCCGCACTGCAGCTGGTGGATGCAGTGCTGATGGGAGCCGTGCACAACGGGCTTGCCCTGGTCAGGTGAGGGCCGGCCCCTCCGCGGGTGACCCTGCGTGGGCACAGGTGAACCCTGATGCGACCGCACCCATTTTCACCGGCAGACCTCCTGGGCACCACAGCCAGAGGGCCGCTGCCAACGGATTCTGTGTGTTCAACAACGTGGCCATCGCAGCCAGGCACGCGCAGCAGAAACACGGCTTGCAGAGGTGTGTGCTGGGCTGGCCGGGGGCCAGGGGCCGGGGGAAAGTTGTGGTGGGGGTCGCTGAGACACCCCCTTCAGCCCTTTCCCACCCTGGGCTGGGCTCCCGGCCCCAAGGCTGGAGGCCCTGCCCCTCGGTGAGCTCGGCACTGCCTGTCCCCAGGATTCTCATTGTTGACTGGGATGTCCACCACGGTCAGGGCATCCAGTATATCTTTGAGGACGACCCCAGGTGAGCTGGGGATGGGAGCCTCCCGGCGACCCCTGCGGGGGGGGGCCAAGGGGCTGAGGTCCTCACCTTTGACCTCTGACTTCTGCCCTGGCTGGCCATCCACAGCGTTCTTTACTTCTCCTGGCACCGCTATGAGCATGGCCGGTTCTGGCCCTACCTCCGGGAGTCAGATGCGGACGCCGTCGGGCAGGGGAAGGGCCGTGGCTTCACCGTCAACCTGCCCTGGAACCAGGTGCCCACCGCCCTGCCCGGCCCCCCTCCAGAGCCCCCTGGCTAGGCCCCATCCCCTGCCCCGCAGCCCCAGGCCTCCCGGACCAAGTCCAGCACATCCTCCGGGGCCCCAGGGCCACGCCTGGGGGTGAAGACCCCACAGCCCTCCCGACTGATGCCCTGTGGCCACAGGTCGGGATGGGAAATGCTGACTACCTGGCCGCCTTCCTGCACGTGCTGCTCCCCGTGGCCTTTGAGGTAACTGCGTGGGGCAGGTGTGGCCTTGGGGGGACTGTGGGAGGGGGACTCCGTGCTCGGGCTCCCCCTCCCCCTTCACCCCTGCTCCAGGCTCTCTCTGCCCCCCGCAGTTTGATCCTGAGCTGGTCCTTGTCTCTGCGGGATTTGACTCCGCGATTGGCGACCCTGAGGTGAGGGCCTGGCCCGGCTGGGGAGGGTCCTGGGGGCCGGGGGCCGGGGGCCGGGGCAGGGCCCCTTCACGCTGGGCTCTGGTTCCAGGGGCAGATGCAGGCCACGCCAGAGTGCTTTGGCCACCTCACGCAGCTGCTGCAGGTGCTGGCTGGAGGCCGGGTCTGTGCCGTGCTGGAGGTGACCGTGGCGGCTGGGTGGGCTCCGCGGCCAGGGGCTGGGCCGCAGGCCGGGGCGGCCATCCTGCTGGGGATGGGGGCGCCCCGCCCCAGCGCCAGCCCTGCCCTCTTCCACCTAGTCCTCTCCTTCTCCAGGGTGGCTACCACCTGGAGTCCCTGTCCCAGTCCGTGTGCATGGTGGTGAGGGCGCTGCTGGGTGACCCTGTCCCGCCCCTGTCGGGGCCCATGGAGCCTCATCGCAGGTACGGGGTGGGAGGGTGGGGGGGCTGGGCGTTCCAGGCTGGGCCTCGCTGTTCCTGCTTCTCCCTCCAGTGCCCTGGAGTCCATCCAGAGCGTCCGGGCAGCCCAGGCCCCTCACTGGACCAGCCTCCGGCAGCAAGGTCAGTGTGGCCCACGCTGGGCAGCAGGGTTACTGCCTGGGCTCCCACACCCTGGCTTTGACTCTGGACCATGCCCTAGGGTCAGCCCCCACACCGAGGCCCGGCACCTGCTCCACAGACGGGAGGACCTCACCTCTGTCGCCTGGGGGACCCACATTCAAGGCAGCGGAGGCCCAGGCCTCGGCTGTGCTGAGTTCCCTCCTGGGCCAGCTGCACCTCCACCCCACACCGCCTGTCCGCACGGCTGTTACCCTGACCGCGCCAGATGCTGCCCTGGGCCTGCCCCCTGCTGTCCTCCATCAGGAGGGGTCAGCCCCCCAGGAGGAGACACGGGCCTGGGCCAGGTGGGCAGAGCGGGCCTGACGGGAGGGATAGGGCCATGTGTCACTCCCTGTCCACATGTCCCCATTTACCACCACAGGCTCCATGAGGCCCTGATCCAGGACACAGCTTTCACTGCCCTTGGAAAGGTCCTGCACCTGTTGAAGGGGATCCTGGATGGGCAGGTGGGGCACCTGGGATGGCCGAGGGCGGCCCTGGGACTGGGGACGGGGCCCGGGAGGGCTGGGAGGTGCGGGGCCACCTGGATGTGACTTGCCTTGTGTCTGGACCCTTTCTAGAACAGCTCTTAGGGACAGGCTCGGGACTTCAGGCCCGCTCAGCCAGGCACTCTGACAGTGGGGCGAAGGGGATGATTTAAAGTGTGGTTTTAAGCGTCTTATTTCCAGAAGCGGAGCAGTTTGACTTCAGGTTGTACAGATGGCTGCTCTGTAGACAGAGACCAAGAGAGGGGGTGGACGTGACCCTACCTGATGGGCGTTGCCCTGCCCTGTGTTATTTACCCCCACAGGTGAGCAGTGGCGTTGCAACGACCCCTGCTGCAGCCGCCACGCTGGATGTGGCCCTTCGGTGTAGCTTGTCGCACAGAGCCCAGAGGTGAGCCTCACCTGGCCAGCCGGAGCCTGCAGAGCCTGGCCCATGGGCACCCCCTGCCCTGGCTGGCCACACCACTCCTGCCTCCCGCCACACGGGCTGGGCTCTGGTGAGCGCAGCCTGTCCCAGGCCACCTTTTCCCTCTAGGGTGCTGTGTGTGGCTGTGGGACAGCTGGACCGACCCCCAGACCTTGCCAATGACGGGTATGACGCCTGGGTCGCGTGTGCACCCAGTCCTACGTGTGGTGGGGACCCTGGGGCCCGTGCGTGAGGGGTGGGCGAGCTCCCGGGAGGGTCTCCCGCAGTGCTGCCCCAGCTGTCCCCCACCCCCCTGGTGCTGTCTGGGCTCACACCTAGGCACCTGGGTCTTCTCTGGAAGGAGGACTCTGTGGCTGGATATCAGAGGCAAAGAAGCCGCTGCCCTGTCCCTGTTCCATGTCTCCATGCCGCTGCCAGGGGTGAGCTGTGGTGTAGGGCAGGGCTGCTCGCTGGCATCCTTGTGGGGACCAGCCCCTGGCGTTCACCTGTTCTTCCTGATGGGACTGTCAGTGTGGCTGCCCACCAGAGATCGGGAGGTGGGGGACCCCAGGCTGAAGGGCTGGAGCTACGCTGCTGTCCTCCCTGCAGACAACGGGAGCATTCCTGAGCTGCGTCCTGGCCCTCGTGCTGCCCCTGGCTTATGGCTTCCGGCCTGACCTCGTGCTGATGGCACTGGGACCAGCCCAGGGCCTGCAGGAACCCCACGCTGCGCTCCTGGCTGCACTCCTGCGGGGTCCAGCGGGGGGCCGAGTCCTGGTCCTGGTGGAGCAGGTGAGTTGGGCAGGGTGGACGTCCTGTGGGTGGGGAGGTGGGGAGAGACCAGGGACTTGCTGCTCCCACCTCTTTTCCTGGCCCAGGAACCCACATCCCAGCTTGCAGGCATCCTGGCCCGGGTGTTGCATGGAGACGCACCCCCCAGCCTGGGTCCCTTCTCCACCGCCCCCCCAGAAGACATGCAAGCCCTGCTGTACTTGAGAGGGCAGCTGGAAGCACAGTGGAAGATGCTGCAGGTGGCCGGTGAGGATGCCGAATGCTGGGAATCTAGGCGGTAGTCCTGCCTTAGAGCTCTGCAGGGAGGGGCTCACGGCCTGGGGTTGACCTCCTCATAGCGCTGACCAGCTGCCTGTACCCGTGTTCCCAGCTCCTTCTTGAGTGCTGTGACCCAGTACCTTGAAATCGGCCACAGTGCAAGTATTCGCACCCCAGGGATGCCAATACAAGGTCGTCCCCCAAGAGCCGGTTATTCGACATTCGCCAGCACACCACTGCCTGAGACCCCTGTCCAGAGGGGCCAGACTGCGGAGCCGTCAGGCCGTGACCTGGAGCCCACCTCCAGTGGCCACCTCTGCCCGGATGGCCCATCCTCACTTGCTACACTGTTAACCTTGAAAATAAAAGTTATTTTACCTGCAAAAATGGGTTTATTTAGGAGTAGCAGAGAATTGCAGTTTGGGACAAACAGACTATGGCAGGAGCACAGGCAAGTCGAGCAAGCAAAGGAGGAGGAACATTATTTTCTGGGAAAGAAGGAAGAAGTTGGGAAGAGTTGTTGTGAATGAACATCCATTGGAGAAAAGCCAGAGTCGGGGACGGTGAGGATTCTCCGGTTCTGCTCCTGGGTCTCTGCCAGGGGTTCCTGTAATTGGAGCGGGTGGTTCAGCTCACCCCCCAGCCTCCCCTTTGGGCCTCCCAAGCCCACTTCATGCATTTCCCTTTATTAATTTTCACATTCCCCCCCTTTTTTTTTTAAGATTTTATTTATTTATTCATAGAGACAGAGAGAGAGAGGCAGAGACGCAGGCAGAGGGAGAAGCAGGCATCATACAGAGAGCCTGATGTGGGACTCGATCCAGGGTCTCCAGGGTCATGCCCTGGGCTGCAGGCGGCGCTAAACCACTGCGCCACCGGGGCTGCCCCATTTCCCCCCTTTTGATCAAGATCTTTCTTTGAAAGCATCGCTGATGGAGAGTCAGGTTTTCCGTATTTATAGTTTGGCCTGTGGACGCAGGAAGGACTTTCCTGGTTGTCCTGTCCTCCATCAGAGGGAGCGCGCGTGCCCGCTGGAGACCACTTGAGGCCACATCTGAGTCAGAAGGAAGGTCAGGAGGGAGAACTTCCAGGCACTTCTCACTGAAAGCCTACACATTCTCAAGGTTACAAGTATTGGAGATGTTTCTCTATTGGGCACATCATTCTTTACAAAAGTTTGACAGGAACAAAGTATAAAACTTAAAATAGCTACACAAAACAGAAGTAACACAACAATCCCAAATAGTATGATGGAGACACATAGAGAGGCAGAGACACCGGTAGAGGGAGAATCAGGCTCCCTGCAGGGACCCTGACGGGGGACTCGATCCCAGGACCCCGGGGTCACACCCTGAGGTGAAGGCAGACGCTCCACTGCTGAGTCCCCCAGGTGTCCCTGTACGACGGTTCTAAACCAGACGGTAGGTCGGCGGCGTTGCCTCCTGGAGGTATTTATTGGCACTTATTCCAATTTAGGGTAGAAAAGTTCCCCCTAGGGAGGCAAAGCCAGACTCCTGTGTGCCTCCTGGAAGTTCCTGCGGGGAGACGGGATGTTGCAAGAACACACAAAAACAATTAGCCAAGGGCATTTGGGAAAAACCAAGCAGTAGCTGAACACAAACAGCAAAACCAGAGACGCACTGAGACAGTACTGTTCTCTTTAAACAAACAAACAAACAAAAAAAAAAACACTTTGAAAACAAAGCTTAGGGGCAGCCCGGGGGGCGCAGCGGTTTAGTGCCACCTTCAGCCCAGAGTGTGAGCCTGGAGACCCAGGATCGGGTCCCACGTCGGGCTCCCTGCATGGAGCCTGCTTCTCCCTCTGCCTGTGTCTCTGCCTCTCTCTCTCTCTCTCTCTCTCTCTTTCTCTGTCTCTCGTGAATAAATAAAATCTTAAAAAAGTAAATAAAAAAAATCTTAAAAAAAAAAGAAAACAAAGCTTATCCGATAATACAGCCTAACAGGCAGTGAATTCAGAGGCTGAATTTGGGTCAGAATCTAGTGTCAGACACAAGTCAGATGAAAGCGGGACTTTTGTGAATCCTGAACCTTCTAACCCATCAGGAAAGTGGGACATGGGTTTGTCCTGGGATCATGATGAGGCGCCCCCTCTGCAAGGGCTTGGGAGGAGCGCACAGGGCACCCTGCGCTCACCAGCCGCTGGGCAGGCCCAGCCGGGCTCCAGTGCTTTCTCCCCACGGGTCCCGCGGACCCAAGTCTCTCACCTGGATGTTGGCAGCACAGGGGCGGGTCAGCACATCCCGAGAGGGTTCTGGAGGGGTCTTTTTCCAGGAAAGGAAATCTCCAGGTTGCAAGATGTGATGCATAAGGTCATCATCTCCATCTCCCAGGAGCTCACGGGGAGATTGCTACTTTGAAAACTTAAAAACACACACACACACATTTATTTATTCATTTGAGGGGAGAGTGTGTGCAGCAGGGGCAGAGGGAGAGACTCCTCAAGCAGACTCCCCACTGAGCGCTGAGCACCCCCCGGGGCTTGACCTCACTGCTGAGGAAATCACACTGAGCAGAAACAAAGACTCAATGCTCAACCGCTGAACCACCTGGGTGCCCCAGATAGTTACTTTTATTTTTTCTTTAAATATCTTATTTATTTATGAGAGACTGAGGGAGAGAGAGGCAGAGACACAGGCAGAGGGAGAAGCAGGCTCCACGCAGGGAGCCCGACGTGGGACTCGATCCTGGGTCTCCGGGATCATGCCCTGGGCTGAAGGCGGTGCTCAACCGTTGAGCCCCCCGGGCTCCCCGGATGGTTACTTGTGATAGAAGCAGTCAGACCTGAGCATCTTGAGTGGATCTGCTGCCACTAACTGTGGGTCGGAGGGGCAGGGCCCGAGCGCGGTGGCTGTCCTGGGTCTCAAAGGCTGTATCTCAAAGGCTCATCCAGAAGGACCGGCAGCAGGCTCGTGGCCCAGGTACTTGGGAGGCTGACGGATTTTGCCAGTCGAGACTCCCCAGTGCTGGTAGTGCGCGAGACTAACGCGGGGCACAGAGGACGGCATGTGCACCGGGAGCAAGACCTGCTGGAGCACCGCGGCAGGGACAGTCCTCTGAGCCCCATGAAGCTCTAGACGGCTTCCCCACGGAAGCAGCCCTGGCCTGTCTAGGACAGAGCTTCGGTCCCATGAGGAAACCCCAAACCATGGCTAAGAGACACTAACATCCACGCATTATGGAAGCTGCACGAAATCCACTCGTGTGGACAGGTTTCCCCGTTTATGCTCTGGGCAGCTGGGACAAGAGGCGGCACTTCCCGCGGGCTTCTTTCCCCACCAAAACTGGTTCTGAACACCCGGGTCCTTTTAACTGAAGGAGAGAGACCTGGGTCAATCCATTAAAAAACAGCGTTAGGGGTGCGTGGGAAACTCAGTCAGTGAGTCGTTAAATTCTTCAGCAAACAGGATCCCTGGGGGGCTCATGGTTTAGTGCCTGCCTTCGGCTCAGGGCCTGATCCTGGAGACCCGGGCTCAGGGCCTGATCCTGGAGACCCGGGATCGAGTCTCACGTCGGGCTCCCTGCATGGAGCCTGCTTCTCCCTCTGCCTGTGTCACTGCCTCTCTCATTAATAAATAAATAAAATCATAAAAAAAAATTCTTCAGCAAACCTATGGGGGATTTTCACTCATTTTAGGAGACTCTAACTATGCCTTGCAATTAAATTCAGCCTTAGTCCAGGGAATGTAAGAAATGTGGTGTTTAGCTGGATCCTCAGAAGATGTTAACTTTAAAAGAGCAGGTTTTGGTGAGTCTAGGAAAGGAAGGAGTCAGGAGATGGGGTTTAGGGGAAAAGAGAAAGTCATGAGAATCTAAATGCGAATGAAGTGGTAGAGGAGCTGGGGTGGTGCCCAGGGAAGCTGAGTACCGGCGGGGAGGTGGGGCCTTCTGTCCCCAAAGAAGACAGGGGCATGGAAACAGTCCTCAGAAGACTTTCTGTCTCTGTTTGCCTCAGTTAGCCTAGACATTGTATTTTGCGGAGAGGCAATTTTATTTTAATGTATTTTTTAACATTTATTTAGAGACTGCACGCGCATGCACGGGGTAGGGGTGCAGGGAGAGAATCCCACACTCCCCACTGAGCCCAGAGCCCCACGTGGGGCTTGATCCCATGACCCTGAGATCAGCCCTGAGCTGAAACCAAGTGAGCGGCTAAACCCACAGCCCCACCCAGGCGCCCTGCAGAAATGTAGTTTTGGACTCCTGATAACATTTTGAAGCTTCAACATTCCAATCAAAGTAGGCATCCCAGTTAGGGTGCTTTTTTGGTTTTTAACCTATTTTTAAAGTATTCTTTTCAAAATAAATGAAGTATTTTACTTATTACTCTGCTAGCACCAGTCCTTCTACACCTGCCCGCCCTCACCTGCCCGTCTGCGCCTGCCCATCCTGCACCAGTCCCTCTCCACCTGCCCGCCTGCACCTGTCGGCTGGCAGCAGCCCTTCTCCACCCGACCATCCTGTACCTGCCCGCCTGCACCTGCCCGCCTGCACCTACCCACCTGCACCTACCCACCCGCACCTGCCCGTCCTGCACCTGCCCGCCCACACCAGCCTGTACCGCACCTGCCCGCCGGCACCTGCCCATCCTGCACCTGCCCATCCTGCACCTGTCCGCCCACACCTGCCCTTCCCGCACCTCTCTGCTGGCAGCAGTCCTCTCCACCGGCCCGTCCCGCACCTGCCCGCCCGCACCTGCCCGTCCTGCACCTGCCTACCTGCACCTGCCCATCCCGCACCCGCCCGTCCGCACCTGCCTGTCATGCACTTGCCCCTCCTGCACCTGCCGGTCCGCACTCGCCCCTCCCGCACCTGCCTGTCCGCACCTGCCCGCTGGCAGCAGTCCCTCTGCACCCGCCCGTCTGCAACGGGGGCGACGGGCAGCTCGGACGCGGGCGAGAAACCGGGGTCCGGGCAGCGGTGCTTCCGGCCCGGGTGACCTGCGGGCTCGGGCCTCCCGGAGGGGCCCCTGCGTCCCCGCGCTCCCGCTTGCCAGCCCGCCCCAGCTGTGCGCCCTCTGTGGGCTTCTCGCCCCCATCACCGAGAACTTTAGCGAAAGCCTGACTCCGCCTCCTCCCCCGGCTCCGCCGCGGGCCTCAAGTTTCCCGCCCCTCGGGGCGCTCCAAGCCGGAAGTGTCCGCGCCCCGCCCTCCCGGTGACGCACTTCCTGCGCGCCTGCTTCCCGCGGCGTGGCGGGGGCGCGACGCAGTGAGGCCGCGGCGGCGGGGACGGGAGCCTTCCGGGCGAGACGGCCGCGGGGCGGGGCGGGGCGCTGGGCCGCGGGGAGGAAGGGCATGGCCAGCGTGCCGCAGCTGCTGGACGACCTGTGCGAGGCCCTGCTGCCGGCCGCGGACGCTCAGCCGGGCCCGCGCCGCGGCGGCCGGCCCCGGGCCAAGCGCAGCCTCAAGCGGGCGGCCTACGACGCGCTCTTCTCGCACCTGTTCCGGGAGGAGACCCGCAGGGCGCGGCCCGGCCTGCCGAGGCTCCCGGTGAAGAACAGGGTCCTCATGCTGTCCTTCGACCTGAGGGTGGCCGGGCTGGGCGCCGAGGCCGACCGCCTGGAGCGGCTGCTGGCGGAGCTGGAGGCGGCGCCGAGCGGGCGGCTGGCGGAGGCGGGACCGGTGCTGGAGCTCCTGGTGCGGCTGGCGGGCAGCGGGCCCCCCCGGGCACTGCGGCGGCCGCGGGACTACTTCCTGCACAGCCAGCACGTCGGCAGGCACGTGCCCTACGGCGGCTACGACTGCTCCGACCTGAGCGCGTTCGAGATGGCTGTGCGCTCGTTGATCTGCGGGGAGGAGTGCTTGTGCCAGGACGCGGTCCGCGGGGCGCTGCAGGTGATGGAGGCGGCCCCGGGCGCCGGCCTGCCCGCCGCGGGGTCGGGGCTCTTCTCCTACGGCGATCCCTGCGGGGACAGGTTTGAGAGAGACACCCGGGTCTCCCTCTTCGGGGCCCTCGTGCACAGCCGCACCTACGACATGGATGTCCGGCTGGACCTGCCGCCGGTGCCCGACAGCGCTGACGTCTCCGGGCTGCCCATCAAGGTAGCGTGTCTGCTCTCCTGCCGCCAGCTCCCCGGGCACTTGCAGATGCCTCTCCTGACCTTCCCTGGGTCACGGAAAAGGTCCGGGTCCCAGGGGGGCGGGGGTCCACTGCCACCTGCACACGCGCGCCTGCTGCTTGTCCCCCTCCAGCGCTGTGCTTTCGCACTCACGCGGCTCTCTCCAGTCGCTGTCCCCCTAAAGTCAAAAGGAGGTACCAGCCGCAGGTTGAGTTCTGCTGGGTATTTCTCGTAGTGAGGCCCTGGAGGTGTGTCACAACCACGCTTGGGTGAGGTTTAGACCCAACGGCCTAGTGATGTCCCCGTCTTTCCCATGACATCCAGGTTCCTCAGAGTGTGGACCAGTCTGATGATGAAGGGTTCCAGTCAGCCTCTAATTTGACTCCTGACTCCCAGTCTGAACCCGGCGTGACTCCGGACATCGACCTGTGGGATGCCGTGCTCACCTACGAGGCCAGCAAGCGGAGGTGCTGGGAACAGGTTGGATGGTATGTGAGCCTTTCCTGTTCAGCACGCCCCCTGCCTCCCAGGCGCGCGAGGCCTTGACTCTGCCCAGGTAGTGGTTGGGAGAGCAGGTGCACTGGGATTCGGAGCCTGGGCGTTTGGGTCAGGCTGGTGTGCGGCGGTGCCTGGGTCCTGGGGGTGAGAGAGATGCGGAGGGGAAGACTTGCGGGACGTACTCGTGTGCCGGGAACTCCTGCTGGGTTACGTCCTTACCGTGAGGGCTCCCAGTCCGAGGTGTTGAGGGCAGCCCTGCGGCGGTGTGCTCAGGGCCCTGGGCCCAGGGTGCTGGGGAGGGGACGTTCTTCGTGTCCGCTGCTCTTCACATGTAGGGGCGAGCGTGGCACTCTCCGGTCACCGCCCTGCTGCCCTGACCGTGGCCAGCATCTCGTTCCCCGGGCTCATCCAGGTCGGGGAGGCCTCTGTACTCAGGACCTCTGAGAGCTGGTGAAGCGCTGGTGTCTCTCGAAACCTCCCAGAGTCGCGCGCGGATGGAGGACACAGGTTTCCCAGTACTCACTCCTGGGACTCTTGTCCTGTGTCAGCGGCTGGCAGTTCTGTGGAATAGCGGTTTGGGGAGCACTGCACGGCGTCAGGGTGCGCAGGGAGCCGAGGGCCTTCTGAGCCGGCCTCTGGGCCACGCGCCGTGGGCCTAGGTGTACACAGTGAGGTGCTGCTCGTGCTGGGGTGGGGTCACTGTCCCCCAGGGGCCTCCTCCAGGGCCGGCCGGCTCCCTACTTCCTCAGCACCACCGGGCTCGCCTTGTCCTTCCTCCCCGGGAACTTCCTGTTGGGTGTCTGGTCAGGTGTTCCCCAGGCGAGTCCAGCCGTCCTGCTAGGAACTGGGCCAACGGCTTAGCGCGTTCTTTTCTCCATCTCTGTGCAGTGGGTGTTTCCTTCGTGAAGCCCCACTGTTCAGGTTGCTGTTGGGATATGATTACTCACGGGTGTCTGTCCTCGGTCCCTGTGCTGCTGAGCGCACTCGATGTCCTGGGCGTCCCCTGGAGGCCGCTGACCACGCAGCCCGGCAGCGCAGAGCAGCACAGCGCTTTTCCCTGTGGGGAGGACGGCAGCCGTGCTCCCGGGAGGTGAGCCGGTGTGCAGCGCCACCTAGCATGGTGGCGTCAGGGGGAGCCTGGGTGGGCTCGGCCCCGGCTGCCCTCCCCTGAGCCTCCTCTGCCTGTTGTGGGAACCTGATCCCACTGACCCCTGCCACCCTTTTTGCTCAAGCTCATTTCGCAAATGACTTGAATTTGTTTCAGTTTCAAGCCCAGCCACCTGCTGGTTTCCTGCCGTGAGCTCTGGCTGGTGGGAGTAAAGGAGGCTGCTGCCTCCAGAAGCAGAGCTGGCTGTCTGGCAGCCCGGGGGACCCCCGTGGGCCTGAAGGCCGCCCTCCTGCTCCTGGGCCGCTGCTCCGTGCCTGCCACCCGCTCTCAGGGAAGCGGTTTCATATGCTGAAGGCTGCCTTCGCTCCCTCGTGGGCTTTTCTCCCTTAGCTCTGACTCCCCAGAGGGCCCGCACGGAGGGTGGTGCTGGCATGCACCCCGAGGAGTCGGGGCAGGAGCAGTGGGGGGTGAGAGGTGGGGTGGTACCCGCCTGGACCTGTCCTGAGGGACTCCCAGGAGGACCCAAACGGTGGGGTCTCTCCGCGAGGGTGTGAGGGCAGATGTCCGTGTCTGGGCACACCCCTCTGCCAGCCTGGACGCCTCAGGACTGGCCGCCCTGCTCCTCTTCCACACGGCCAGTGCCGCCTTCCGGGGGCAGACGCCAGGGCTCGTCATTGCTCTGCCTGCCGCACCTGATGGCTGCCCCTGGTTGGGGAGGAGGGCTGGTCCAGATCCTCCGTGAATCCTCCCTGTGCCCCCAGCTCCACTCACAGTAACCCCGTTTCTCTTGCTGCTCCCAGGGCCTCTCGAGGCCTCCCTGGCCCTGGGTTCCTAGTCGGTGCTTCCTCAGTGCTTCTGGCTGCAGCCCCTGCCCCTTGAGGGCTGGGCTTGTCCTCCGCTCACCGCCTGCGCTCAGATACTGCCGAATGAGGGGAAGAGCGACTTGTGGTGCATTGTCAGAGAGGGTTATTGATTTTTAAGATTTTATTTATTTGAGAGAAAGCGAGAGTGGGGGCTGGGGAGGGGCAGAGGAAGGAGCAGACTCCCCGCTGAGCAGGGAGCCCGACAAAGGGACTCGGTCCAGGACTCTGAGATCATGACCTGAGTCAAGGCAGACAGACTGAGCCCCGCAGGCGCCCCTAAAGTAGTTTTGATTTTTTTATAAAGATTTTATTTATATCATGAGAGACACAGAGAGGGAGAGAGAGAGAGAGAGGGGCAGAGACACAGGCAGAGGAAGAAGCAGGCTCCATGCAGGGAGCCCGATGTGGGACCCGATCCCGGGTCTCCAGGATCATGCCCTGGGCTAAAAGCGGCGGCGCTAAACCACTGAGCCACCAGAGCTGCCCAGTTGCCCAGTAGTTTTGATTTTAACAGGTTCTGAGATGTATTGTTCTGGTACGATTGTGTGTCGCGCCTGCTGGGATGAATGCGTGCCGGCGGTCAGACCTGCATCTTGGTGTCAGGACGCTGTTACCGCCTCCTCGGGAGATGACTTTTGTCTCTGAAGAATAAATGATACTTTTTTGGATATCCTAGACCTAAAAATAAGTTTTTTTGCAGTGAGGAGAAAGGAGCTGGTTAGCTATTAAAAACGAGAAGAAGAGTTTGAAAAGGGCCTGTATTCGCTGAGCCCCCTTTGCTGAGAAATTACTCTTTCAGTGGGTTTTAGAAAAGAGCTCTTTCGTGTTTTCCAGTAGGGGTTGATGGTTTTCAAGGGAATATTTAAAAAGTGACACTGTTTTTTTGGCTGCTTTTGAATGATGTGCTGTGCTGTGTAGACATGGTTCTTGAATTCCTGGCCTAGGGCCCTGTGGACACAGAGCCCCTGGAGGCCGCCATGTGCCCAGAGGTAGCCCTGCAAGACCCAGCGCCCCTTCTGTCCGAAACGTCGTGAGCCTTGTTGCTCTGGGCCACCGAGTAAAGGAAACCTCAGTAAAATATTCAGTTGGCCCGGGGTGGGGGTGGGGTGGGTGGGGGGCGCTGCGCTGGGCCCCTGCCCCGGGGCTCCCCCTGCCGGCTGCTCAGCACTGTTGTCCCAAGCCCTCAGGCCCGGGAGGGGTGGAGGGGGCCGCGTGCTCATTTTGAGTCATGGTTTCACGTAAAGTCCTCCGGCTCGTCCGTGTTGTAGTGTGTGTCACAGCGTCCGTCCCCGCCGGGGTCCTCCTCCGTTTTTACGGACTGGCCATGTTGGTTGATCCGGGCCCCTGCCGGTGACCCCTGCGGTGCCTCCGCGTGGCTGCCTTGATAATGCTGCTGAGGGCTTCGTACTGACTTAACCTAAAGATGGAGCGTAATGCCCTCCGAGGGTCCGCGCCCTGGTCTTCTCAGGCCCTCTCCCCCTGCCTTCTGCCGGCACAGCTCAACCCTGTGCTCAGTGTCCCCCCCCTGTCTCCCGCGCAGCCCCCCCGGCCACAGAGAGGAGCCCTACCTCACGGAGGCCGGCAGGGACACCTTCGACAGGTTCTGCAGGCTCTGCCGAGGGGAGCTGCAGATGCTCGGCGGGGGCCTGCTGCAGGTCCCGCAGCCTGTGCTGGTGAAGGAGTGCGAGCTAGTGAAAGACGTGCTGAACGTCCTGATTGGGGTCGTGTCCACCACGTTTTCCCTCTGCCAGGTAAGCAAGGGCTTGGCATGCGGGGCATCACCAGCCAGACAGCCCGCCGTCTGCCTGGCTCTTTACAGGGTAGATGGGAACCCCGTGCAGCAAGCAGGCGGCCCCCGAGGCAAGCTGCTGGGTGGCAGGGTGGGGGTAAAGGCCTGCGGGTCGGCTGGCCCAGAGGTCATGGCCACAGTCTCCTCGTTTCAGTTCTGAAAATTATTAGTTTATGAACGTCCTTTCAAAATAGAAGAGTGGGGCACCCGGGTGGCTCAGTGGTTGAGCGTCTGCCTTCGGCCCAGGGTGTGACCCCGGGGTCCTGGGATAGAGTCCCGCATCGGGCTCCCTGCATGGAGCCTGCTTCTTCCTCTGCTTCTTTCTGTGTCTCTTTGCAATAAATAATTAAAACCTTCTTAAAAAAAGTGAAGAAAGCGAGATTGTTATTGGTGAAACAGTAGAAACCTGCCTGCCATTTCCATGTCTGTCCTCAGGAGGTGTTGAGAGGCCCTCGGACGCTTCCCTGTGCTTGGACTGGGCACTTGCTCAGCCCCGGCAGTACCTGCCTTGCAGGAAGGGACCACGTAGTCCGGACACTGTCACTGGCTTCACCTAGTGCCACTCGCTCGGTGCGTGGGCTTCTCCTCTTGTCGGTGGCGGGAGAGCATGGGCAGTAGGGGCCATTGATCGGCCTTGTGCCCCTTGCTGGGCATTTCTTCTTCTTCTCTCTCTCTCTCTTTTTTTTTTAAGGATTTTATTTATTCATGAGCCACACAGAGAGAGAGGCAGAGAGATAGGCAGAGGGAGAAGCAGGCTCCCTGCAGGGAGCCCGATGTGGGATTTGATCCCCAGACCCCGGGATCACGCCCCAAGCTGGAGGCAGAGGCTCAACCGCTGAGCCATCCAGGCATCCCATGGGCACTTCTAAAATAAACAAATACATTTATGGACACGAAGCCTCTTGTATGTGTGATTCTGCAGCCCCCTTCTTTCCTGTAAGCGCCCAAGCTCTCCGTATCTTACGTGTTCTCATCTAGTGGCTGTTCTCGAACTGGAGTATGTGTGAGAAGCATGTCCTGGGGTTGCCCGGAGACATGCTCTCCGACCGACTCCTCAGGTGGTTGATGTGGGTACTAGTGTGAGGGCCATCCTCTGGGAGACCTAGAATGCCATCTTTATGGCCTCATATGAATGGCCTTACCATGGAAATAACTCTTTTTCTTAGTTTTAGTAAAATATACATAAGTTAAAATTTACCATCTCAAGCACTTTTTTTTTCCAGATTTATTTATTTATTTTGAGCGGGAGAGCAGAGCATGCGTGTGTGCGTGCGAGCAGGAAGAGGGGCGGAGGGAGTTTTAACCACACTCCTCACTGAGCACGGACCCCCTTTTGGGGCTCGATCTCTCGACCTTGAGATCATGGCCTGAGCTGAAACTGAGTTGAATGCCTAACCAATGGCACCACCCAGGTGCCCCACACATTTTTTTTAAAACCACTTTGAGGTGTACAATTCAGTGGCTTTAACTACATTTACAGTGTTGTGTGGTCCTCATCACTGTTTCCAGAACTCCCCACCCCACGAAGCTGTGTCCCCGTCACACACCCTCCGCCCCCGGCCCCTGCTCCACCGGCTCCCCTGTGCCTCCTAGAGGTGGAACCATATGGGATTCGTCCTTCTGTGTCTGGCATAGGTCACTGAGCACAGTGTCCTCGGGGCTTACCAGGTGGGGGGCGGGTGTCCGTGGCTCCTTCCTTAGGGCCGAGGATGGGCCATGTATGTGTTCCTGTGTTTTATCCCAGTTTTCATCTGTACTTGGATACAAGGGTCACTTTCACCGTTTGGTCAGCGTGAATGTAACAAAATAACATTCCTAGTGACCGTCCTGCGGGTGGGAAGTGCTGTGTCATAGTTCTGGTTTGTGTTTCCATAGTGACTAATGGCTTTGAACATATTTTATGTGCTTATTGGCCATTTTGTATCTTTTTTTTAAAAGATTTTATTCATTCATTCATTCATTCATTCATTCATTCATTCATTCATGAAAGACACACAGAGAGGGAGGCAGAGACACAGGCAGAGGGAGAAGCAGGCTCCATGCAGGGAGCCAGATGTGGGACTCGATGACTCGATCCCGAGACTGTGGGATCATGCCCTGAGCCAAAGGCAGGTGCTCAACTGCTGAGCCACCCAGGCATGTTTGTGTATCTTCTTTGCAGAGTTGTCTATTTGAGTTCTTTGCCCATTTTGAGTTGAGTTGTTTAGTTGTAACAGTTCTTTATATATTTTGGATATTAATCCCTTGTCAGATTCATGATTTGCAATATTTTCTCCTGTTCTGTAGGTTGTCCTTTCACTCTCCTTATGGTTTTCTTTGAAGCACAAAAGTTTAATTTTCACAAAGTCCAGTTTGTTTGTATTTGGCTGCCTATGCCTTCAGTGTCATATGTGAGAAACTGCCTAATGCCGGGCCATGAAGATTTGCCTCTGTGTGTTCACCTAAGAGTCTCTTGGTTTTAGCTAAGTTTGTTGTTTGATCTATTTTAATTTTTTTTTAAATTTTTTAAAATTTTTATTTATTTATGATAGTCACATAGAAAGAGAGAGAGGCAGAGACACAGGCAGAGGGAGAAGCAGGCTCCATGCACCGGGAGCCCGGCGTGGGATTTGATCCCGGGTCTCCAGGATCGCGCCCTGGGCCAAAGGCAGGCGCCAAACCGCTGCGCCACCCAGGGATCCCCTAATTTTTTTTTTTAAAGTAATCTCTAGGGCAGCCCGGGTGGCTCAGCTCTTTAGCGCCGCCTTCAGTCCAGGGTGTGGTCTTGGAGTCTCGGGATCAAGTCCCATGTCAGGCTCCCTGCAGGGAGCCTGCTCCTCCCTCTGCCTGTGTCTCTGCTTCTCACTGTGTGTCTCATGAACAAATAAATAAAATCTTTAAAAAATAACCTCTACACCCAACGGGGGTTTGAACTGATGATACCAAGATCAAGAGTCACACGCTCTACTGACTAGGCCAGCCAGGTGCCCCATACTTAAGTTTTGTATACGGTATGAGGGGAGGGTCCAGCAGTTGCACGTGAATGTCTGGGTTTTCCAGCACTGTTTGTTGAAGAGACTGTTGTTCTTACCCAGCGAATAGTTTTGGTTCCCTTATTGAAAATTAAGTAACCATGTATGTGAGGGTTTATCTCTGGGTTTTCTCTCTTGTTCCTCTGGTCCAGGTGTCCGTCTTTATGCCAGTAGCGCGCTGTTTTGATTACTGTAGCTTCCAGATAAGTGGAACTGGGCAATAAGTTTTGAACTGGGCAAGTGTGAATCTTCTAACGTTTTAATTTTCCAAGATTATTTTGGTTGTTTTATTCTAAGATGTTATTTATTTATTCATGAGAGACACAGAGAGAGGCAGAGACACAGGCAGAAGGAGAAGCAGGCTCCCTACGGGGGGCCCGATGTGGGACTCCATCCCGGGGTCACGCCCTGGGCCGAAGGCAGGTGCTCAACCACTGAGCCACCTGGGCGTCCCATGAAAAATGTTTCCTTGTTGTTTGTGTTTGTGTGTGTTTTTGTTACGAAGAGTGGGACCGTCGGGTTATGCTTTGTGCCCACCTGCTCTTGGCTGTGGCGCTTACTGTTAGTGTGTCTTACTTTGGGGTGCCCAGTCTTGGGGACACTCCACGCTGGAAGGGGGGGAAAGGGACACCAAGCACGTTGGGCTCTGGGTGCTTGAGCTCAGTAGCCCCCCTGCCCTGTCCAGCCAGCCCAGACCTTCATGGTGAAGCGGGGTGTCCATGTATCCGGGGCATCCCCCGAGAGCATCAGCAGCCTCCTGTCAGAGGTGGCCGAGTGTGGGACACACTACGCGCGCCTGAGCCAGTTCTCTCTGCAGCCTGTGCTGGACTCCTCGTGCGGCAAGGGCCTCGTCTTCCAGGTATGGCCTCCCCCTCACGGCTGTCACCCCCTCAGGATTCGAGAACCTTACAGCCGGCCCACACCCGGGTAGGGTCCCCCTGCTGGGAGGGGCAGGTGTCCAGGGCGTTTGGGGAGCGGAGAGGTGTGCGTTGGGGAGGCAGGGTGCCGGGGCCCTTTGGGTGCTGGGCTGCTCGGGCACCTTGACTCTGCAGTGCCCTCTGGTCCTGTGGCAGCAGTGGTGGGTGATGACCAGGTTCAGCTTGGAGATGGTGCAGGCTGGGCCTGTGGAGGCTGACCAAGACGGACGGACTGCCACATGGGTCGTGGATCGTGACTGGTGGGTGGACTGACTTGTTCCGGAGCAATCTGTGCACAGCTGCTGTGAGGACAGGAGCTGAGCTAGGGCCTGCTGTGCTGGTGCAGCCCAGGACGCGTGCGCCCTGAGAGCCCAGGGTTGGGCAACCAGAGGCCCTGTCAGAGTTGGCGCTTGAGCACGCGGCCTGGCTGCCCTTTCCAGAAGGGCCCTGCAGTTTCCAGTTTCCCGCTGTCTCTGGTCTTGGCTGCAGGGATGGGTTTGCAGTAGGCCCTGGGGTCCCATGAAGGGCCTGCGTTCTGGGCATGACCCCCAGATGCCCCCTCCCAGCTGGAGCTGGAAGCTGGACCCCAGGGTTAGGTCATGGGAGCCGAGCTTTTCCCCTTCACCAGCTGCAGCGTGTACTCCGGTTCCGAGCTCAGTGGCTCCGTGCCTGTGCCCGGCCGCCCTGCTCTGGCCTCCTCCTCCCCCACAGGCCTTCACCAGCGGCCTGAGGAAGTACCTGCAGTACTATCGTGCGTGCGTCCTCTCCACTCCACCCACCCTGAGCCTCCTCACCATCGGCTTCCTCTTTAAGAAGCTGGGCCGGCAGCTCAGGTGAGCCTCAGCATGGCGGTGGGTGCGGGGCCGTGGGGGGCCTCTGCCCCTGCCGGTCTCAGCGGGAGCCGTGTGTGTGGGTGGCCGACCTGGCGGCCCATCTAGGTCCCTGCCAGTGCCTGTGGCAGGTGCCATCTGGAGAGGGGGACGCTGGGAAGGAGGGTTCTGTGGGAGAGGAAACCTTGCAGGCAGAAGGGGGGAGCTGGGGTACGGTGATGGGGTCAGTGTGCTGCCAGCTGAGCGGGGGTCTGGGGGGGCTCTGGGAGGTGGTCTGGGGCCAGAGGAGGTGTCACTGCATGAGGTGGTGGGGGGGCAAGGGGGCAAGTCGTGGACTCGGGGTGGTTCTGAGCCTTTGCCGAGCCTGGGAAGGAGGTGGAGATGCCCAGGGACCCAGAGTCCAGGGGTGCTGAAGCTGGGGGGACAGTGGGCGGATGGGCCTGGGGGTCCGTGTGTCGCCTGCCTGGTCTCCCTCAGCCCCTCCCTGTGTGCAGGTACTTGGCTGAGCTCTGTGGTGTCGGCGCTGTGCTCCCAGGTGCCGGCGGTGAACCCAGGGCTGCGTTCCCCACCGTGAGTTCTGGTTCTTCGGGTGCGGGCAGTGGGAGGGGGTCCCCTGGGGGGCTGAGCGTCCAGCTGGACAGCTCCGGCCCCCGGCCCCGCCCTGAACCACGCCCCGTGCCATCTCCAGGGCGTGAAGCTGCTCTCCTACCTCTACCAAGAAGCCCTGGATAATTGCAGCAACGAGCACTACCCCGTGCTTCTGTCCCTGCTGAAGACCAGCTGCGAGCCCTATACCAGGTGGGCCGCCCGTCCCCCACCCCGCACATGCGGAAGCCGCCCAGGTTGGAGCCCTGCTCAGGGCAGGGTTGTACACCGGGAGGGGGCACACTGCTGGCTGCACCCCCGCGGCTGCGTGCCCCTCACTGCTGGGCGCCCACACGCAGGTTCATCCACGACTGGGTGTACAGTGGGGTCTTCAGAGACGCTTACGGCGAATTCATGATCCAGGTGAACCACGAGTACCTGGGCTTCAGAGGTAGGTGGCTGCTGGCTGCTGGTTGGGCCTCTGCCATCAGGCTCAGGGCTGGGGCCGGTGCGTGACCACAGCCAGCTGCGTGTCCTGTCCCACATGCAGACAAGTTCTACTGGACCCACGGCTACGTGCTCATTTCCAAGGAGGTGGAGGACTGCGTCCCCGTGTTCTTGAAGCACATCGCCCACGACGTGTATGTCTGCGGGAAGACCATCAATTTGCTGAAGCTCTGCTGTCCCCGGGTGAGGAGGGCCCGCCCCTGCTGTCTTCCTGGACGCTCTGGTCCCGACACCTGGCCATCAGGCTCTAGTTGGTGCTCACCTGCCCCTCATTTTCCCCTGAGGGTCACAAGCAATCTGTTGAGTCTCTAGGAACTTGTTCAAAGTCAGGAGGAAAAGCAAAGGTATTTCAGAGGCCACGGGCAGCTGTGGGAGACTGCCCAGGGAGACCGCGCAGGGCGCATCCACAGGAAGACAGGCCCAGGCCAGTGTAGAGAGTCGGGGGGGCACAGGGTGGCCAGGCTCCAAGGGGGAGGCCTGGCAGCAACCTACAGGTCATCCACAGGGCAGGGCCTGTGATGTGGTGCTACTGGGGTCTGGGTGGGGGGCCGGGGGCCCAGCCTGTGGCTGGAGGGGCCCGTCCTGTGCTGGGTCAAAGATACACTGGAGCTGCCGGGATGTGGGGAGCGACCGGGTGGGCTGCAGGCACGGGGAGGGCCGGGGCTGGGCGGTGGCCGGCGTGGGGTCTGTTCCGTCCAGGCTGACCGCAGCGCGCGGGTGCCCGCGTCTGTAGCCCATGCTCCTGCCATGAGGGAAGCTGAGGGTGGCCGTGGGTCCTCACAGCTTCTGGAGGGTCATTGGTGGGAGGTAGGCGTGGCCGGCGCCGCGGCAGAGACCCCTTCACAGCTGCCCGGGACATCCCCGGAGCCGCACCCCTCGGTGGAGTGAATGTTCCTGGGAAAGTGAGTGTCCCCACGGCTCAGCGGGAACAGAGCCGGGCAAGGGTCTGCGTGTCGCTGGCTCACTTCAGCTTCTCCCCGTTGGCAGCATTACCTCTACTGGTCCGACGTCCCTGTGCCTCGGATCTCGGTCATCTTCTCCCCCGAGGAGCTGAAAGAGGTCGAGAGGGACTGCGCCATCTACGTGGGGCGGATGGAGAGGGTGGCGCGCCACAGCTCCATCAGCAAGGAAGAGAAGGTGCCAGGCTCTGTGGGCCTGGGGGCTTTCCTTGAACCCCCGCCCCTAAGGGTCTTGGGCTGATGGGAGCAGCGGGCAAGATGGGGAGGCTGGGCCTGAGGCTCTTGGTGGGTAGGGGGGTAGGGTACTGGGGGATACCTGGGGCAGGGGCTCTGTCCTCGCCTCCGTGGGCCCCTCTCCTGCTGGGCAGGGGCTGATGTGCCAGGTCCTGAGCTTTAAGTCGTTTGGTACCCAGGGCCGCGTTGATGGAAGGCTGCTTGTGGCCTGGCGGCCGGTGGCAGCAGGGACAGGTGGGCGGGGGCTGGCTCCTTCCCTGAGCTCCCAGGCCCCCCCAGGGGGCACACGCGGGTCTGGGGGCTCGGCCACCAGTTGTTCTGAGGCTGTGTGACTACCTAGGCTTGCTGCTGTGCAGGATGGGAGCCTCGCCCTCGGGGCCGGTGCTGCCCCCGGAGGAGCCCACGCAGGGTCCCAGCAGCCCCGCGCTCAGGCCATCCTCAAGGGGGGATGGACACTTAGGACATCTGTTTACAGATGGTCCTTTTCAGGAGTTACGAATGGAAATTGCAAAACAAGAACTGATCGTGCACGCCCGTGAAGCGGCATCCAGGGTCTTGCGAGCGCTCAGTGGTCCGTGTGGCTTGGGACCTCCCTCTGTGGGTGGGGGGGCCCCTGCCGTGGGCTCCCTGTAACACTGCCCCCTCCCATCGCAACGTAGATCGGCAGACGTCCGAGCGCGTGGCCTTGGACGCCCGGAAGCGAGAGCAGTTCCAGAGGCTGAAGGAGCAATTTGTGAAGGACCAGGAGGTAGGTGGTATGGCTGTGGGTGGTGCCGCCTGGGAGCGTCTGGCTCTTACCTGTGATGCTGCATATGGTCCTCTGTGTAGCGGCGCCGGGCGGCCAGGCAGGAGGCGTTGGATGACGACTTCGGCCACTCACGAGAACTCCGTGACAGGGAGCGGAGGCTGAGGGCCCTGGAGGAGCAGCTGGAGAGGAAGGCGAGGTAGGTGGTCACTTGGCGCTGACCGTCCTGGCGTGATCCTGTGACGATTGGCTTTTTATTTTGGAGGTTTTCAAGTGTTTTAATTTTTTTTTTAATTTTTATTTATTTATGATAGTCACAGAGAGAGAGAGAGAGAGAGAGAGAGAGAGAGAGAGGCGCAGAGACATAGGCAGAGGGAGAAGCAGGCTCCATGCACCGGGAGCCCGATATGGGACTCGATCCCGGGTCTCCAGGATCGCGCCCTGGGCCAAAGGCAGGCGCCAAACCGCTGCGCCACCCAGGGATCCCTTCAAGTGTTTTAAAGTAGGAAGAGGGATCCCTGGGTGGCGCAGCGGTTTGCTGCCTGCCTTTGGCCCAGGGCACGATCCTGGAGACCCGGGATCGAGTCCAACGTTGGGCTCCCGGTGCATGGAGCCTGCTTCTCCCTCTGCCTATGTCTCTGCGCCTCTCTCTCTCTCTCTCTCTCTCTCTCTCTCTCTGTGTGACTATCATAAATAAATAAAAATTAAAAAAAAAAAAAAAAGGTAGGAAGAGTGGGGCTCTGAACTCGGGCCGCGCACCTGGGCTGAGTGCTTCTGGCCATTTTGCCATGTTCGTGTGCGCTCAGCCTGGCAGCTGGGCAGACGAGGGCCTTCGTCCAGCCCAGCGTCCAAGAGTCTGTGCCGTTGCGGTCCCGGCAGCTTGTCCCGCCCCCCACGCTTCCGTCACCTGGCCGCAGAGCTGGTGTCTCCCCGGGCACCTTTCTGGGGGGAATGTCTCTTTCTGCCCATCGTGTCTCTCGGGATCTCATCGTCCCAACCATACACACTGTCCGTGAAGCCCGTGTGCACGTGGGGGTAGACATCATTCTGCCATTTACGGGAGAAAGCGGGGTGTAGGGCCGTGTCCCCATCTGGGGCAGCCAGATGGCCGTCAGCCAGCCCCGCCTGACCCAGGTCCCTGTCGGTGAAAGGACCAAAATCTCGGAGTGAGGTGCTGGGGGCTTCAGGGGAAGCACGTGCAGCATTTGCGTCGCGCTCTGGGAAACCTGCATTTCTTTACTCCCCTGGAGTTCGCAGCTGGGGGGCAACCGCCTTCCCCCCGGGGCCTGGCTGGCTGTCCTCCTGCCAGTCCTTTGGCTTCGGGCCTCACAGGGGCTCATTCTGGCTGCTGTGCCCTGGCCAGGTCCCTGCCCGGCGGGGTCCCTTCCTGCCGCGTAGAGAGACCTGCCTGGCAAGGCCCCTGCTGGCCTGGGAAGGTGCCAGGCTGTGCAGACCACCCGCTGAGTGCCCCTACCGTGGGGAGCCGCCCTGGCCCACGGGGCACCAGCTGGATAGCGTTGGGCGGCCGCGGCAGCCGGTGTCTCTGGGTGTGGCTTCAGGCAGGCGCTGGTGGACCATTATAGTAAGTTGTCAGCGGAAGCAGCTCGTCGAGAGCAGAAGGCCCTGTGGAGAATCCAGCGGAACAGGTTGGCAAGCACACGGCTTCGCTTCCTCGTGGAGGACCAGAAGCGCGTTCAGGTATCACCATGGCTCCCGACAGACGCTCTTCCCCTGGACAGCCCCTGAGAGCGTATGCAGACCCGCGTTCTGGGAGGGCATCGGTTACTGGCTCGGGGACGCCATGGCTAGGAGGAGGCCGTGCCGCCCTCCGATGACGTGGCCAGGGCTGAGTGTTCTCTGTAGACCCGGGCCCTGTGCGCCTCCGTGCTGCGGCCGCAGGGGCAGTTGGGGCTGTGGTTTCCATGCGTTGGCTGAGGGTGGGGAGGCTCTGGGTTGGATTGTGTGGGGCCAGGTGCTCACCGCTGCTGCCTCAATTTCAGGAGATGCTGAAGGACGTGTCCAAGGGGAAGCCCCTGGCTGTCATCCCTAGTGTGGGCTCCCAGGTGAGGGGCCGGGGGCTGGACTCGGTGCACAGCATGGGGCTCTGAGCTGGGCGTCCCAGGTCTGCACGGTCCTGGGATCACCATGGGTGCTGGGCCTGGCTTGTCCCAATGGTTCCCCACTTGACGAGCTTTGGTGCTGGTTGCAGACCTGAGCTCGGCGGACCGATGCCCACGTGTGTTTCAGGCTCTGTCTCCAGGACTCGCGCACCCTACTGGGGGTGGCCGCTCTGACTCTGGGTACGTGGTGCAGCAGCACGTAGCTGAGTGGGACAGCCCGAGCGCACAGACACCGCAGCTCCTCAAACCTCTAGCAGCAGGGACCCATGGCTTGGGGCCGGGAGCTGACCCAGGGCCGTTCCCCGAGGGCCTCAGCATCCAAGACTTCCTACCCACAGCGGGGGAGGCCGAGCAGCCTGTGCCCACAGGTGTGGCCTCTGTCCTGGAGGAGGCGCTGCAAACCATTGGCTCAGACCTGCCTCCCTCGGCCCCATCCGAAGTGGTGGGCACAGATCCCCCTGGGCCACAGGAGTACGACTTCAGAACCATCCTGAGGCCTGCTGTAGTGCCCTTGGCTTCCCCGGGGTCTGTCCAGACCGTGGGAGGAGGCTTGAGCGATGAGGGGCCGCAGCTGTGGGGGGACAGTGTCCTGTCGCCAGAGAACACAGGCGTCCCAGATAGGCAGGTGGCTCTGCCTCACCCACACCTCCCTGGGCACAAATCCCCCCAGGAGGGGAGAAGCCAGGCCATGGGGCAGGTCCTTGGGCATGTGTCAGAGGGCAGCATTCCTACAGGGGGTTATGTTTCTGGGATGGCACCCTCCCGCCCGCGGTGGAATATCCATGGACATGTGTCTGATGCCAGCATCAAAGTTGGTGAGAATGTGTGGGATGTGGCTCCCTCCCGCCCACGGTGGAATGTCCATGGACACGTGTCTGATGCCAGCATCAAAGTCGGGGAGAATGTGTGGGACGTGGCATCTTCGCGCCCACGGTGGAACGTCCACGGACACGTGTCTGACGCCAGCATCAAAGTCGGGGAGAACGTGTGGGATGTGGCTCCCTCCCGCCCGCGGTGGAACATCCACGGACACGTGTCTGAGTCCCACATAGTGCTGGGTGCACTTTCTGGGGAAGGCCAGCCCAATGCAGCGAGGCCCTGCAAGAGCCCTCCTGACCATGTGTCGCAGTCTGGCCTCAGCCTGGGAGCACAGAGCCCTGTCTGGGAGCACGAGCCACAGCTGCCTGCAGAGACAGCCTCAGATGGTGCCTGTGCTCAGGTGGCCGGCTCCGGGAGTGGGCATGCGCGTGGGCCCCAGGCTCCGCTGTCTGCGGTGGCTGGGTCCGGGGATCTGGGCGATGGTAACCCTGAGGAGCCAGGTGAGTGGGACCCTACAGCTGTCCTATCAGTGGTGGCATCTGTGGGCCCAAGAGGGGTTTGGGCAGAGGAAGGGCAAGAAGTCCACAGCCTTGGGGACTTGGGAGGTGCCACTGCACAGTAGGCACTTGGCCCTGACTCCTCCCCCCCACCCCCCCTTGTGTTGCTCAGGATCAGGGACAAGTGCAGACACTGACAGCCTCTCTCCAGGTCGCCCTATAAGCTCACAGGTGAGGACAGACATGGTTTGGGGCGGAGGGAGTAAGCCTCGCCATCCGCCCGTTGGCCTGCCTTGCTTAGGCGGTGAGAGTCTAAGGCCTCCAGGACGGGGCTGCTCGGAGGGGACCCCCACCCCTCCTCCTCTTCCTAGGAAGGTGCGGAGGCCCCCAGCAGCCCCAGCCTTGGCGAGGAGGAGGCTGCGGCCCAGCGCTGGGGGCAGGAGCAGGCCTACCTGACAGGCCTGGCAGAGCAGTACCGCCTGGAGCAGTACCCGGACAGCTACGAGGCCATGTGTGAGTGCACGGCGGGGTGGTGGGTCCCCGTGGCCCGACCGTGGCCTGACCGCGGCCCGCCGTCCTGCAGCAGAGCCTCCTGTCGCCCACCTGCTACACCACGGGCTGCCCCGGGCCTTCGCGCTCCCAGAGCACCCCCGGGGCCGGTCGGGTGCTGATGAAACCGCGGTGCAGCTGAGCGAGCTGCTGCCCCTGCCGGTGCTCATGAAGCACTCCATCACCGCCCCGCTGGCTGCGCAGTGAGTGCCCGCTCTCCTGCCCTGCCGGCCCCGCCCCTCCGGCCCTGCTGATCCCGCCCCGCTGACCCCGCCCCTCCCGCCCCGCTGACCCCGCCCCCGCCCGCCAGCGTCTCCCTGGTGAACAAGGCGGCTGTGGACTATTTCTTCGGGGAGCTCCGCCTGGAGGCGCACTTCGAGGCGCTGCGGCACTTCCTGCTCATGGAGGACGGAGAGTTCGCACAGTCCCTCAGCGACCTGCTGTTTGAGAAGGTGATCCCTTGGCGCGGCGCGGGCGGGTCGGGGCCGGTGCTGGTGCCCGGACGTCCTGGGGACACCTGTGCCCTCTCCGGCCTCAGCTGGGGGCGGGGCAGACGCCCGGGGAGCTGCTCAACCCGCTGGTGCTCAACTCTGTGCTGAGCAAGGCACTGCAGTACAGCCTGCACGGGGACACCCCCTATGCCGCCAACCTGTCCTTCGCCCTCAAGTTCCTGCCTGAGGCGTTTGCTCCCAACGCCCCGGATGTCCTGAGCTGCCTGGAGCTCAGGTACAAGGTCAGCAGGGCAGAGCTGAGGGGGCGAACCGGGGGCGGCCCCACCGGGTGGGGGGCGTGCTAAGCTGGCTTCACCCGCAGGTGGACTGGCCCCTTAACATCGTGGTCACCGAGGGCTGCCTGAGCAGGTACAGCGGCATCTTCTCCTTCCTGCTGCAGCTGAAGCTGATGATGTGGACGCTCAAGGACATCTGCTTCCACCTCAAGCGCACAGGTGAGGCCAGCTGGCCCCGGGCATGCCCCGGTTGGCACCGCGGCTGACCCTCTGCCCTCCCACAGCTCTGGTGAGCCAGGCCGCCGGCTCCGTGCAGTTCCGCCAGCTGCAGTTGTTCAAGCACGAGATGCAGCACTTTGTCAAGGTCACCCAGGGCTACATCGCCAACCAGATCCTGCACGTCACCTGGTGTGAGTTCCGTGCCCGGCTGGCGCAGGTGGGCGACCTGGAGGAGATCCAGCGTGCACACGCCGAGTACCTGCACAAGGCGGTCTTCAGGTGAGCTGCTGGGCCTGGGGCCGCTCCTTGGGGCCACGTGGGGGAGTGGGAGGGTGCCCCCCACTGGCAGCTGCCTGCTTCCCCAGGGGCCTGCTGACAGAGAAAGCTGCGCCTGTTATGAACGTCATCCACAGCATCTTCAGCCTTGTCCTCAAGTTCCGTAGTCAGCTCATCTCGCAGCCCTGGGTCCCGGCCAGCGGCCCCCGGGGTGCTGAGCACCCCAACTTCGCCCTCATGCAGCAGTCCTACAGCACCTTTAAGTACTACTCCCATTTCCTCTTTAAAGGTGACTGTCCCCCAGGGCCTGGTGGGCTTGGGGACACTTGGGGACAGCGGGCAGGAGCCAGCCCATGGGCCTGGCTGAGCTGCCCCCCCCCCCGCCCCCGCCCCAACCAGTGGTGACCAAGCTGGTGAACCGAGGCTACCAGCCCCACCTGGAGGACTTCCTGCTGCGCATCAACTTCAACAACTACTACCAGGACGCCTGAGGCCCCACCGCACAGGTGCCCCCCACCCCTGGCGCTTCCTCCTCAGGGGGGCGGGCAGGGAAACCACACGGAGACGGGCCAGGGGGAGAGGCTGGTTTATTGGGGGCTGTGTCTCCCCATTAGGAGCCACGTGTGCCAGCCCCTCCAAGGGTGGCAAGGTGGGCGGGACGGCCCCACCCCCTGGGCCTGCTTCCCTCTGCTGAGCTCCTGTCCTTGCACAACGTGGCTTCTGTAGGGAGCGCACTGAGAGTGGGGTGGGGCTGCTGAGTCTGCATCTGACAGAGACAGGTCAGGGCCTGACTGGACGTCTCGGCCGTCATTGAGAGACGGGGTGGGCTTTCCACAGGTGTGCCCCGCCTCAAGGACTCAGGGGGCCTCGGGGCCTCGGGGCTCCATGTGTGGAGGCCTCCAAGGCCGTTACGAGGATCACGTCACACACAGTTCGGCCGCCCACAGTGGGGGCTTGCTGCTGTAGGAGTGCCCCCCACTGTCTGCCCCGCTGGCCCCCTCGGGCTCCGTGGCCTCTGGGACCTGAGCAGCCTCCCCGGCCCTGTGGTAAGGGGTTTCTAGCAGCTCCAGCACCCGCCGTACCTGGAGAAGGGCGGAGAGGAGTTTTAGGGGCTGCCCCTGCCCCAGTTGTCCTCCCGTGGGACCCAAGGACGGAGAGGGGACGGGGGCGAGCTTGCCTCTGAGAAGTCTCCGTTCTCTGCAGCCTCAATGGCGTTTTGTGCGATGTAGTTCCGCAAGACGTACTTGGGGTTGTTGGCATGCATGACGCGCATGCGCTCAGCCTGCCAGGCCTCCTCGTCGCTGACGCCCTCTCTGTCCTTCTCCAGCCGGGCTCTGGAATCACATCCAAGTTGTTCTTTCCAGCAGATTCCGCCTCCCCCACACCACTCCTATGTTGGGCTCTCTGCACGGGGCGGCGTCTCCTGGAGACATGGCGCCCTGAGTTCGCGCCTGCAGCCTCACCTGTACTGTTGGAGCCAGTCAGCCCAGTGGCCCTGGTTCTTGCTCAGCAGCTCGGCCGGGCTCAGCTGCTCCAGCCGTGACTGCTGCTCCACACGCTCCAGCTCCTTCGTGACGTTCGCCCGGGTGCCGATGAGCGCAAAGAGCTGAGGGTTGGACTGTGCCAGCATCAGCATCATCGAGAGCTGCCTGTGCAGAGGGGCAGTGTGAGGCACATTCCCACCCCTGGCTGGCTGGGCACGGAGGAGGCGGCAGTGGCTTTAGCGGCTCTGCTGTGCCAGAGCTGGCTGCCCCCCAAGGGGGTGACTCAGGCCCGACCGGCGAGGTGGTCCTTCATCCTGGCTCTGCAGCCCTTTCATGTCACAGGACGCGTGTTCCCTGAGGGGGCAGGTGCCACGGGCGGGTAAGGGCACCATCTCGCTGCTGCTGGGCACCTGCTTCTCCCTAGGGCAAGGTCACTGCCGTCCGTTTCTCCATGGTGGCCACGAGGCCACGTCCTTCCCACTTGCAGAAGAGGTGGGGGAGGGACCTGGTCCTACCAGCTGGTCCTCCATCCCGTCAGCCACCCCCCATGCTGCTGTGCTAAATTCTCTCAGACCACAGTCTGTTGGCTTGTTTATTAAAACCCACAAACAGGGCTTCTGGGGGCTCAGTGGTTGAGCGTCTGCCTTCGCCTCAGGTCGTGATCCTGGGTCCTGGGATCGAGTTTCACATAGGCCCCCCGCAGGGAGCCTGCTTCTCCCTCTGCCTGTGTCTCTGCCTCTCTCTTGGTCTCATGAATAAAATTTAAAAACACGTTGCTTCCGGGTTTGAGTGTGGGCTCAGACACCGTGTGCTGCCCGCAGTGGGAGAAAGTGCGGGAAAGCACAGGCTGGGGGGGGGCCTCAGGCTCTTCCTGGGAAGCTGCTGCCCAGCCTGCTCCACAGGCCTCCCCCGTACGGTGGCTGTGCTGCCGTCCCTCCCCCGGGGTCCCGAACCCTCCCTACTCAAGCTGCCTCGGCCAGCTCTCCCTGACGTTCCCCAGGGTCTACATGGTCTCCCTCTGGAAGCAAATTCTAAGAAGTGAGACCCAGGTACCCACCGGGGATCCATCTGGGGTCGGAAGGCGAGCTTCAGCTCCTCCAGGGAGGCACACTGTGCGGTCAGCGCAGCCAGGAACTCGGGCAGGCCCAGGGCCTCTGGCCCGACTGGAAAGGAGCTCAGCACGTAGAAGGTGTTCGTGAAGTCAGCTCCTGGAACGCGGCAGTGCTCAGGGTGCCGGCAGGCGGAGGCACAGGCGGCCCACCCACCCACCCCTGGCTGGGCCACCACTCCACGCCCCAGGTCCTTCAGCTATGCGTCAGGTCCAGGCAGCAGAGGCACGCAGGTCAGGCCCCGGCCACCCTTGCTGTGCTCTGCGTCCCCACTGCCTCCTGGGGCTGCAGAGCATCGAAGAGAAGCCCCTGGGGCACGTCCAGACACACAACAGACACGGGGAGTCCTCAGGCTGACTTGTGAGAACATTCACCGCAGCCCCTAGAACGTCCCGGAAATAGACACAAGAGGAACTGGCCGGGAACCAGAGGAACCGGCCGGGAACCAGAACAGTCTGCTACAGAGATAGGCGCCGAGGAGGAGAGGGATGAATGCGGCCGGGACAAGGGCAACGGCTACCGACAACCCCTCCTCAGGGACGACTTCAGCAGTAAATGGATTCTCTCCACGTGACACGTCCAAAAAGACTTTGAACTTACCGAGTCCAAAGGGAAAGGACAGAAAAACTATCCCAAACAGCCGGAAACCTGCAGAGCTGGGCCAGCCCTGCCACCATCAGACACAGGGCCTCCGCAGGAGACCACGCACCACCAGGGCTGTAGCAACGGACAGTCCATTCATCAAGATGTGACAGGTGGACGGGCCAAGCCAGCGCGAGACACACAAAGCAAATGTTCGTAACATGGAAGGAGGACCGGCACGGTGCCCTGAGGGCGCAGGAGGCTGCAGCACCCCACTTTGGATAATGGATGGAACGTCCAGATGGCCAGCAGACGCCGAGAGGGCTGCTGGCCCCTCCGGGACCGGGATGGACGGGTTCAGCCACAGAGGAAGTCTTGATCTGCTCAGAGGACGAATCTCCAACCACCACGGAAGGAAGACTGTTGAGGAAAGCTGGAGAATTCACAGATCATGTGTAAATTAACCAGTGTGTCCAAAGAGAAATTCAGAGGGAAACGAGAAAATACCTATGGGCAAGAAAAATGTGGGAAACATAAATACCAAAATTTATAGGAGGCCACGAAAGCAGTGGGACATTGAAGATGCTCATCAGCTATGTCAGAAGAGCAGACCTATTTTGTCACAAGAAAAAGAACTTTGCAGCTGTGTGGGGATGGAAGTCGGTGTGCACTCAGGTACACCTGAACTCCTACAGGTCAGGTGCATCTTGGGAAACAAAGCCTCCAATCCTAAACCTAAGGAACTAGATGGAAAGCAAAAAGGACTAAGGTTAGCAGAAAGGAAGGAAACAGACGGCACGGCAGAGATCAGTGAGGGAACCGAACAGGCGAGAATCACTGAAACCAAGAGCTGGTTCTCTGAAGAGACCAATGAGATGGACTTGAAGCCACTGACAAGTAACTAAAATCAGAAACGAACGCGCAGCCGTGACGAGTGAATAGAAGACAGACTGTAGGGGGCTCTGCACGGTCACACGCCAGTGCGTTGGGTACGAGAGCAAACAGACAAGCTCCTAGAAACACTGTCGGCCCGAACGGACCCAGAAAGTCCGAGCAGTTCTGTAAGCTGCGAGGAGGCCGAATCGAACCCTCTGCAGGGACACGGAGTACCAGACAGTCCCCCTGGTGAGCCAGACACCTGAGCATCAGATCCGGTCCTCAAACTTCCAAAGAACAGGAGGGAACACCTCCTGATGCACTTCAGGGAAGCAGTGCCTGGGTAGCAAAGCCAAAGATGTCCCGTGGGGTCTGTGCTGCTCCCTCGCCTGCAACCTGGGGTCTGTGCTGCTCCCTCGCCCGCAACCTGAGCCCACGGCCCCATCTGCCCTGATCTCTGGCCTCCAGCCCCAGGACGTAAGAAGTCCGTGTGTGCCGGGCAGCCTGCCACCCGTCACCACAGGAGCATAACTGCCCATGACAGGACCCGGAGAGAGAACGACGACTGTGTTCATCTCAGTGGGTGCAAAATGGGAAGAACTTCCATAGCGAACACAAACTAGGAACAGAAGGAAACTTTCTCAATCTCGTAGAAGCCATATCTGAACAAGCCAGACACCCCGGAATGTAACGGTGAGAGACACCAAGCGCCCTGCCCTGTAAGACGCGGATGCCCACCGTGGCTGCTTCCACCAGCAGTCCTGGTCGTTCCTGGCTGAGCAAGCCGGGGGCTCCGCATTGGGTCGGCCGTCCACGCCGAAGCACGGCCCCACATCAAAGCAAGGACTCGAGCAGATGCGTGTACATCGGTCTCCGCTCCGCAGCAGAGCGCGGCCGTCCACGCGAGGGGCCGTGACAGTCATGCAGCCGTAGAAGGAACAGAACGTGGACCCCGCCATGCAGAGAGCCAGCACCACCCTTATCACACCCTGGACGGGTCCCACCTCATATGAAGTCCCCACGGGATCCGACCCACAGACAGAAGGAAGAACGGGGTGCTCGGGTTGGGGGGGAGGAGGAAACAAGCACAGGGTGTCCCACTGGGGAGATGGAAACGTTCTGGAGGGGACAGGGTGACAGGTGCACTGCGGGGTGAATGTCCTGGGTGCCCCCGAGCAGCTCCCCTCATGGTGACAGTGGTCAACCTCACGTGGTGTCTGCTTTGCCAACCCGAGGCGGCCGGGCTGGCACCGTGGCATATCAGCCTGCCCACACTCACCGGTCAGGTGCATGGTCTCCAGGAGCTTGGCCACCAGCGCCCCGTCGTCATCCAGCTCCTTCCGCACCAGGCCCAGCTTCCTCCGCATCTTCTGCAGGTAGTGCCGGTGGAACTCGGAGTCAAACTCCTCGGCCAGGATGGCCTCACCCAGTTCGCGGGGCAGCTCGGGCTCCAGGGCCTCCAGCAGCTTCTGCAGGTTCCACTTGCAGACCTCGGGCTGCTTGCTGTACGTATAGCGGCCGGCATTGTCGGAGGCATTGCACACGTGGTCAGGGTCATACCTGGGGCCAGGGTGGGGGGGGCCGTGATTGTCCACGTGGCCACTGTGGGCCGGCCCCTGAGGCTCCACTGCCGCCCCACCTCTCCGCGCCACGCCCCTGCCCAGGCCCCCGCCCCCCCAGAAAAGCAGGTCCCTCCGCTCAACACCTTCCAAGGGATTTGTCCTTCTAGGAACGGCCGACCAGGCACTGCCAGGAGCTGAACACCGCACTGAGCGCGGACGCCAGCCACCACGCACACGGCAGGTTGCACCCGGGGGTCCTGGCACCCGGGGTACCCGCAGGCTGGCCCCGTTGCCCACCTGTCCAGGAAGCCGAAGGGCCCGTAGTCGATGGTAAGCCCCACGATGCTCATGTTGTCTGTGTTGAGCACACCGTGGCAGAAGCCCACGCACTGCCACTCGGCCACCATCCACGCCGTGCGACGGGTCACCTGCAGTGGGACAGGTCCAGGTGGGCCCTCTGCCCCCCGTGAGTCCCTCAGGCCCAGCCCCTTGCTACGCTCACCGCAGGGAAGGACGCGCGGGAATGCGTAAGGAGAAAGCACCCTGGAGGAGGAGGGATGCACGAGGGCTCCGCTTGTCTGCTCAGCCACCTGCCTCTTACGTGCTCACCGATTCTGGCTCTTACGAGACCAACAGCGTCAGGAAACCTGACATTCCTCGACTTGGGCCGGGTGAGGCATGCAGATGCCCTGCAACCCCACGCACGGCACACCGCGTCAGGCCAAGGACCCTCCAGGACCCAGGCAGCGTGGTCCTCTGGCTTCACCTGCCCAGTCACCCCCCACGGTGTGAGCCGAACCCCGAGATGCCTCCTGGCAGCCCGGAGCCTGGGGGGACGAGGCCCCACACATGCATAGCACTCATCTGCCGGCCCTGCCTTCTCTGTTCCCGCGGATTCCGCAGGCCCCGGGCTTGGGACGTCGCATGAGACATCCATCCTGCCCCGGAGTGCCAGCCACACCTGAGCGCACTAGTGTGGACCCAGGCGTGGCCGTGACCCGGGCGGACGCAGGGTGTGCAGTCAGGTACCTGGCACCCACCACTGACGTGGAGACCTTCCCTCACGGCTCCCCGCGAGACCTGGCGGGGCACAGGACTCGCCAGTGTTGCCGAAACCAAGTGATCCATGGTGTGTCCTGGGACCCGACCCCTCACGCAGCACTGCCGGGAAGTCAGTCCGCTCAAAGCCAACAAGTGGTCACAGGCTTCGGGACAGGGGAGCGACTCAGGCAGCCAGGCAGGGAGCCAAGTGAGAAGCTGCGTCCACGGGCGAGTCGCCTGCGTCCTGGCAGCCAGGGCCGGGGTGCTGCTGTGCGGCCCACCTACCTCCCGGAAGAAGGCGGCATTCCTCTGCACACGGTCCTCGGCGTGAGTGGCCTGGATCTCAGGATAGAAGGTGCCGATGACGTAGTCAAGCATCTGGACCCGGATGTCGTTTCTCCCCACGCTGGGGCCCTCGCGGCCTGTGTGCTCATCTGCAGGCTTAAAAATCTCAAAGGATCCAAACCTGCAGGGAGGACGAGGTCAGGCAGGTTAGACGAGACCCCAGCCCTCGTGAGGACGCTGGCCGCAGGGTCTCGTGGCCCAGGCTGGGAAGAGCACCCCGGTTAAAGCAAAACCAATGGAAACCATCGTCCTTTGGGGACACGCAGACCGTTCGCCTTTGGTCATGTCCCCCACACACCGGGCTGCGGGAGGCCGAGGAAGGCACGACCGACCCTGGGGCGCAAGGAGGGTTCTGTGCTCACCCCCACGTCTAGAAGCACGTCGGCAACCGGCGTCCTACAGTGATCGTGTCACCCAGGGGGCCTAAGGCCACGTGCGATGTCCTCGGTCTCACCGACTGGCGTTCCCACCAGTGGTGAGTGCCATGTGGTTGGCCGGCCAGCGGTGCCGCGAGGGAAGCAGCCGGGGTCTCCGCGCGGAGGCAGGCGAGCGCCCTGGCTCCTCCACCCCCAGAGGACAAGAGCAGGAGCCAGGGACTGTCAGCCTTGGGCGTGGGCCGGGCCCACGGGGTCCTGGCTCCACAGCACAGGGAACCATACGGTGCCAGGCAGTAGGTGACACTGGGGAGCGACCAGGACAGGAACCAGAGAACAGAGGCTGCTGCGCGGGGCGTGAGCGGGGCTGGCTGGGGCAGGCGCACAGCAGCCGGCCGTCCACAGCAGGCCCGGGCTCCTGCCCAGAGGCCCCGCGCCCTGCCGCGGGTGCCCGGCATTGACCCCATGGGCCGTCCGCTTCTGCGGCTCCAGGCCTGGTGCGGATGGGGTCCCAGCGCGTGGGGCCCCGCAGGACAGCTCCTCCAGCACACCCCTGGCCGCCTGCACCACCTGCAGCTCCGGGAAGCACGTGCACAGCCCTGGGGCCCCGGCGTTACCTCAGGAAGGTGGAAGCGATCCGCAACACCACCGTGCACTTCTCGTATTTGGGGTTGCCGTCATAGAACACATCTCGGACGACCGTGGACTGGGACGTGACGCAGGCCCCGGCCCGCGTGGTGGGGATGCCCAGGTGGAACATGGCTTCGCTGCACAGGAACTCCCGGATGCTCGACCGAAGGACTTTGCGGCCGTCAGCCTGTCTGAAATCACACACGCAGGTCACGGCGGCGTCACGCGGGAGGGACTGACTCACAACATCCTAAAAGCTTTTTGGAAACCATTCACTGGCAGCTGCAGCGTCACTGTGGGAGGACCCTAGCTTAGAGGATGCCGGATACCCATGGCCCCAAACATGGCCCTGCGCCTGGCCTGCAGCTGGAGGCCCAACTAATGCCGGAGACAGTGAGGGCTCCGTCAGGCCTCCTGGCAGGACCTGCACCGCGAGGTCACTCCCCCTCCCTGCTGCAACCCGCAATTCTACTTTAAGTGCTCTCGCCATGACCTAGGTCAGCATCACCCATAGCATTGGACGTCGTCGGCTGCCCTGCATGCCTCGGGCCTTCACGCCGGACCTCCATCCTTTCAAGAACAGCCCTTGTGGACCAGAGCAACCTCAGGCTCACAGCAGAGCCCCGAAGAGAGTACAGGGAGTTCCTGTCCACCCCCAGCCCCCTCGACTGTCCCCACCACCACCAATGCACCTGTTACAACCCATGGACCCGCACGGACACGTCCCCATCATACACACCGCCGTCTCCGCCAGGGCTCGCTCCCGTGCGCTCGGCTGCGTGCGTCTGGACGGAGGTGTGACGGGTGGAGGCGGGTGATGGCGTCACTCGGAGCAGCCTCCCGGCCGGTTCCTCCCTCCCCTATAACCCTTGATCTTTTATGCGTCTCCATAGCTTTGCCTTTTTCCAGAACGTGACCATTACAGCACGCAGATTTTTCAGACCGGCGTCTTTCATTTATGGTTCCTCCGTGTCTTTTTTTTTCTTTAACCCAACGTGGGGGATCCCTGAGATCAAGACCCAGAGGGAGAACCAGAGCCGGATCCTCACCTGAGCAACCCACCCAGGTGCCCTACTCTGTGTCTCCCACGGCTTGGTAGCTCGTCTCTCTTTGGCACTGAACAAGATCCCACTGTCTGGATGGACCCCACGTCACGTATCCACTCACTGACCGAGAGACATGTTGGTCACTTCCAAGTTTGGGCAATTAAGGATAAACCTGCCATGACCATGTGTGCACAGGGCTTTGTGTGGACATAGGTTTTCAATCTTTTGGGTAAATAGCAAGAAGCACAACTGCTGGATCGTATGGCATGTTTACTTTTGTAAGAAACTGCCCAATTGCCTTCTGCGGTGGCCACGCCACCCTGCGTGGCAGTCAGCGAGTGTGCGCTCCTGCTGGTCCCCATGCCTGCCGGCACTTGGTGTGGCCAGGCCTCTGGATTTGGGCCGTTTTGATAGGTGTGCCGTGCTGGCTCACTGTCGTCAGAATTTGCATTTGATGACACATGATGCTGAGCTCCTTTGTGTGTGCTTATTTTCCAACTCTGTCTCTTCTCTGGGGACATATCTGTTCAGGTCTTTAGCCCATTTCAGTCCTTGTTTTCTTACAGTTGAGTTTTGAGAGTTCTTCGTATACTTTAAGTCCTTTATCACGTTTTTACAAACGTTTTCTCCCAGTCTAGTTTTTCTTTTCATTCTCTTGATATTGTCTTTTGCAGAGCAAAAGTTTTAACTTTAATGGAGTCCAGCTGATCAGTACCTCCTTCATGGATCTTGCCTTTGGTGTATGTGTCTAAAAAATCATGTCCAAACCCAAGGTCCTCTGGGGTTTCTATCTTATCTTCTAGGGGTTTTATAATTTTGCATTTTACATTTAGGTCTGTGATCCCTTGAGTTCATTTTTGTGAAGGGTATAAGGGTATATTTTGGTGTGCAGATGCCCAGTTGTCCCAGCACCATCTGTTCAAACTATCTTTGCTTCTTTGTCAAGATCAGTTAACTACATCATGGGGGCCTATCCATTGTTCCATTGATCTATTCTTTCACCAACAGTGCATTTTCTTGATTACTATAGTTTCATAGTAAGGCTTTTGTCAGGTAGTGTCAGTCCTCCAACTTTGCTCTTCAATATTATGTTGGTTATTATAGGTCTAAAATAACCTACTGAGATTTTGATTGGGATTGTATTGAATCTACAAGACAAACTGGGAAGAACTGACATTCTGACAACACTGAGTCTTTTCATCCATGGACATGTGATATATCTTTCCATTTATTTTGTTCTTTGGGATCTTTCATCAGTTTTGTAGTTTTCTTTATAAAGACCTTGTACGTATTTTCTTAGATTTGTACCTAAGTATTTCATTTTGAGGGGTAATAGTGGTAATAACATTGTTTTTAATTTCAAGTTCTGGGATGCCTGGGTGGCTCAGCAGTGGAGTGTCTGCCTTCGGCCCAGGGTGTAATCCTGGAGACCCGGGATTGAGTCCCACATCGGGGACTTCTCTGTCTCGTGAATGAATAAATAAAATCTTAAAAAAATAATTTCGAATTCCAATCACTCATTGCTCGTATATAGTAAAGTGACTGACTTTGTAATAAGTTTACCTCCTGAAATCTTGCTGTAACTGCTTATTAGTTCTTTTTCATCAGATCTTTGAGATTTTCTACATGTGTTCATCTGCAAACAGAGTTTTATTTCTTCCATCTCAATCTGTATACCCTTAATTTCCTTTTCTTGTCTTACTGCATTAGTTAAGACTTCCAGTCTGATGCTGAAAGGTAATGGTGGGGGAAACATCTTTACCTTGTTTCTGATCTTAGTAGGAGAACTTCCAGCCTCTTCTCACCAAGTAGATGTTAGCTGTCGGTTTTCTGGAGGTACTATCAATTTAAGGAAATTCCTCTCTTCCTAGTTTACTGAGTTTTTGTCAAGAATGGGCACTCTATTTTGTCAAATCCTTTGTATGTATGCTGCATATACTGATATGATCATGGGTGCTCAGGGTTTTGCAAGCCCTCACTGTGTGAAGATACATCTAGGCCTCCTGCCTCTCCCTGCCTGAGTGTGGCTCATCCCAGTGTGAGTGACACCTCTAGAAACCAGATCTGGCGGTCACCCCAGGGCTCACGGCGTCAGCCTCTGGCCAGTGGGACAGGTGCACTCCATTTACCTTCTAGTCTATATAAAGAACTGTGACAAGGAAACCTACTGTCAAATGTCAATCCCCTCCTCCCTGGTCCTGGGAATCCCCTCTCACCCAGCTAGATTTCGTGTTCAGCAGGAAGCCAGCAGAGCCCAATTTAATCTTGAATCTGGTAAAACTGGTCCTGAAAATAAGCAGCCTGTCTTCTTCCCAAGGCAAAAGCCAGAACTGGACCATTACATAGCAAGGATAAAGGGCCTCAGAGAGCAGCCAGGCACCCACAGGGCCAATAGGACACATGACAGCAGTCCTTTCTCCTGCACGCCTGTGTCTGTTCCCCAGCAGAGCTGCGAGGATGGACCCAGCTGAGGACAAGGTATTCTGTACCTGCCAGGAGAAGCACGTTCTGAAATCTCAACCCCTCCAGCAGGTGGAGGGGGCGGCACAGGCATGAAGTCACCTGCCCACCCCACCAAATCCTTATCTGGGGATCCAGCAGGAGCTGGCCGGAAGCCACTCACAGCCACATTGGATGTCAGCCTTGCTGAGGCTGGGGACCCCAAAACACATCGGGGGGTGGGTGCCAAGCTGAGTAAAGGTTAACTGACCCTTTTTTTTTTGAAGAAAAATATTCTAGTGGATCTCAAATCTAGAAATACGGGACTTAACACTCAAGTTTTCAAATATAAAAGACATCCAATAGCTGATCACTCTCCCAGGAGGTTTCTCTTTGTAACTGGAAAAAACAAACTACTGAAATGAATACACAAAGTTTAAAGATGCTCAGAGAACGAGCAGGCCCCCAGGTGAGAAGCATTTACATATCCTCTGAAGGGGCAGAGGTGTGGAGAGCTCTGAGCAGGGTGTTTGCGGTGGTGCCAAACTGAACTCAGGACACTTCTAGAGATAGAGCCGTTTGAAAACTGGAGGATGAAGAACGAGCTCTTCTGGGGGCTAGAGATGGAGCTGCTGGGCGGCAGGCAGGGGGTGCAGGACCCGTTCAGCTCCTGGAGGGAGGAGGGCTGGGCACGGGGAAGTGGCCAGGGGAGACACCTGCCCTCAGGATTTCTTTGAACAGAAAATGGCAACTTGGCTGTAACTTTCTCAGCCATTGAACAAGCATTTAACAAATGTGGCTGGTTTGGCTGACTGTGCACGCTATGAGCCGCTACAGCTCTGAGGGCCCCTGCGCGTCAGGCTGCCGGGTCCCGCCCACAGGTGCTTGGAGGCCATACCCGGGAGCAGCGGCCCTGAGGGGTCCTGTCCCTGCGCAGGGTTCTGGCCACACGCTGTGTGCGTCGGGAGGAGCAGACAGGCGCAGGCGCTGCCCCCGGGCTGCCTGCAGACACGTTGCCTCCGGGGCCAGTGGCTGGGCTCCCGCACAGCTGATTCCAAAATCCCCGTGGTTTATGCGCGCGGAGGGTGGAGCAGCTGCTGGAGGGAGGAGCCGGGGGTGGGGGTGCCCTCCCTGTGCAGTGGAGGTCGAGGGGCATCAGGGCACCTGGCTGCACCCTCCCTGTGCAGTGGAGAGGTCAAAGGGCATCGGGGGCACCTGGCTGCAGCCCTGTGGCTGCAGCCCCGCGGCAGGGGAGGGGCTGGAGCCTGGGCACAGGCGGTTGGTTCCCAGACTGGGAGACTGGGGTCGCCCCACCTGTTCTAGTCCCCACATCACTGCAGCTCCGTGTCAGGCCCAGCCAGGGAGCCAGGGAAGGAGGCTGCGGGACTGCGCACGGCCCCGGCCCCGCCCCCCAGCTCCCCCTGCCTCCCCTCCCCGTCCCCCAGTTCCTCCCCCCTTCCCCACCCGCTCCCTCCCCTCACCCCTCCCCCGGCCCACCTGGAGAAGGGCGTGGGGCCCGCGCCCTTGAGCTGCAGCTCCCAGCGCTCGCCGGCCGCCGTGCACACCTCGCCCAGGTACATGGCGGCGCCGTCGCCCAGCTGCCCCGCGAACTGGCCAAACTGGTGGCCGCAGTAGCAGTGCGCGGCGGGCTCGGCGCCCGGCAGCAGCGCGTTGCCGCTGAAGAAGAGCGCGGCCTCGGCCTCCCGGGCCTCGCGGGCGGCGGCGTCGGCGGGCGGCGCGCCCAGGCCCAGCAGCGCCAGCGCGGGCTCCGACAGCGCCACGAGGCGCGGCTGGCGCAGCGGGGCGGGCCGCACGCGGCTGAAGCAGGCCCCGGGCACGGGCCGCGGCGCGGACGGGGCGCCCTCGGGGCCGGGCGGCGGCGTCTCCACCGGCAGCGCGCGCAGGGCGCGGTTGTCGAAGCGCAGCCCCGCCAGCCAGCGGGGCGCCGGCTCCATGGCAGCGCCGCGGGCGGCGGCCGAGGCGGAGCGGGGCGCGGGCGGCGGGCGGCGGCCCAGCGGCGGCGACCGGGCTCGGGGGGCCGCGAACAAGGCCCTGAGCGCGGCCCGGAGCGCGGCCATCGGCGGCGCCGGAAGCCCCTGCGCCCCGACCGGAAGCCGCGGCCCGCGGGCCCCGCTGCGCAGCCGCCGGGTGGCGTTTGCTCGTGCGCCTGCGCGGGCCGCGCCCTCCAAAGCCTGGCTCTGATTGGTCGCGGCGAGGGCCCGGGGGGATCCGGGGGTCGGGGGGGGCGTCCTAGGGGCGAGGGGACCCGGGGGGTGGACGGTCCGGGGATCGGGGGGTCCGGGCCCGGGGGATTCCGGGAGTCTCGGGGCGTTCCGGGGGCGGGGGGCGCCCGGAAGAATCCAGGGATTGGGGGGTCCGGGGGGCGGGGTTCGGGGGTGGGCTTGGGGGCGAGGCGGGGGCGGGGTGAGAGGGAGGAGCACCCGGGCGCCCGCGACTGTAGACCGCCAGGGGCGCCTCAGCCCGGATGACCCGGGGCAGCCTCTGGGCGGTTCCCGGCTGCGCGGGGCACCGCGGCGGAGGGGACAGGGGAGGTTTGTCCGCGCGGGTCCGGGTCCGGGTCCGGGTCGGTGCGGCCCCGCAGGAGGAGCCCGGGGCGAAGCCGGAGCGGAGGCCAGTGCCTCCCCTGCGCCCCTGGACCCCATGCCCACCCTCCCCCGCCCCCCTTGGGTGACCTCCTGGCACCCTCTGCCCTCCTGGCATAGCACCGCCCTGAACCCAGCTCCTCCCGTTTTCCCGTGTCTCTGACCCCGGGCTCGAGGGCTGTGGGTCCCGGGACCCTCCCCATGGTTGCCCAGGGGCTGGGGGCCCAGCCTGGCCTTGCAGCGTCTGCCCAGGAAAGGCACCTGCGTGACTGCTGCAGGGTGCCCCAGATGCGGCCCTCAGAGGAGCCTTACACTCGGATGGCGGCAGGGAGCCGGTGGTCCTTGCAGGGGTTTCCTGGTGCCCCCGCGGGCCCCTCGCTGGCCTCCCACTAAAACCTGAGGCCAGGAGCATAGACACACGGGCTCCCTCACGGCCGGACTGTGCCCTCACCCCAGGAGCCCAGCACGTGGCTTCCCAGACGTCAGGTGCAGCGTCTGTGCCTGCCAGCCCCTCTGCAGCTCCGAGGCCTCACCCCGGGGGTACATGGGGGCACCGCCTTCCGTGTTAGGTCCCTGTGGGCGCTGATCCCCCGGGTCTCCTGCAGCCTGACGTTGGGCTGCCTGCGGTCTTGTCCGCTTGGACTGCTGGCGGAGTCCCCTAGTCCCAGCCTCCTTCCTACCTGCCTAGGGGACCTGGCCTGACCCTAGTGTCACCCCCCCTTCCCCAGGCCCTTCTGACCCATCTCCTTGCCCCTCACCCCACTGTGCTACCCACGCCTTGGAATCTGGTGGGCCTGGGTTCACAGCCAGTGGGGGCACCTGGGGGGTGCCAGGGGTTCCAGGAGGTCGGCACCAAGGGTTAGTGCCTTATGGCACCTGGGGGCCTTGCTTCTGGCCTAAACGTTGGGCTGCGCGGCCTCACGGATGCCCCCAGGGCTGTTTTGGGTGGACAGGTGCCCCCCATGGACAGCGCAGGGTCTGAGCAGCCAGGCTGGGCCGGAGCTGAGCTCGGCAGCCTCTCGGTCCCAACCCCGAGGAAGACACAGCGAACAGCCAGGCTGGTATGTTTAATGAGGCTCAGGTGCCCGTGGGCGCGGGCCTAGGCCTCGCGGGGAGCAGTCGTGCGCAGGCGCAGCACGGAGGAGCTTAAGGTGGGCTGCTGGTCGCCAGCCGCCCAGCGCATGCCCGACATGGCCCCCTCACGCTCTGGCCATGGCCCGTTGAGGTCAGCGTGGCCGCAGTCGCTGTACCACCACCCGGAGCCTGAGCGATCGTGGCTGCAGCTGGCGAAGGTCTGGGCGCCGTCCTTGCAGGGCGAGCAGCGGTCGTGGTCGCGGTCTAGCGTGCTGAAGCCGCAGCCCTCCTGGTTGTCCGTGCGGCCTGAGCCCCGGAACGCGTCCCCTGCGTGTGGTGGCGGCGTGGGTGCTGGCTAGCCGCCCCCCCCGCCACACCTGCTGCCTCGCCGTCGGGGACCCCAGGGCGGGCGCTTCTGGAAGCAAGTGTTTCCCCAAGCACAGAGACTGGCAGGTGTGGGCCGGAAAGCTGGGGTGCCTGGGGACCCATCCTTCCCTGCCTGCCCTGGCCCTGCGGCAGGACTGCCCCTTCCTGAGCCCGCCGGGTCCCTCCCCTCCGAAGCGCTCACCTGCGTTCCCTGAGTACAGGCCCAGGCTCAGCCGGTAAAACTGGGCCTCCCCATCCACGTGGAAGTGGTCGTAGTGGGCGTGTAGCGTGCGGTTGTCCACGTCCAGGAGGTCCACCCTAAGCTCTGCGCGCAGGCCCGGCTGGGACGTCAGGTCAGAGATGTGCTGCAGCCCCAGCCAGTGGTCACCTGCGGGCACGGGCCATCAGGCAGCACAGCTGTGGGACAGGCCATCGCTGGCCGCCCCCGCCGTCGGCCCGGTCCCCGCAGGAGCGTGTCCTACCTCTCAAGTCTCCGAACCCCTGCTTGTACTCCTGCCAGCACCTCTCAAAGTCCAGGGGCCTCCCGCGGCCCCAGTCGCGGCTCTGAATCACCGTCCAGCCGCCGTCCGGGTGCATGTCACAGAGGACCTGGGGAAGGGGCGTGCACTTGGCATGGGGCCTACAGGTCTCCCCGTTCTCCGGGAAACACTTTGTATTTGAAAACTGAAACTTTGTTTTTCTAGTTGTCATGTTATATAAACTTGCATCATATTAAACTCCAGTTCTGGGAAGCGGCGATAAGGTTGCACCCCGGGAGGCTGCTCAGTCCCGGAGCTCGCACCCTGCCGCGTGGCTGCAGCTTCCCTTCACGTGGTCACCCGGGGGGCTCGGTCTCCCCGAGGCTTCCCCCCGCTGCCCGGCCCGGCTAGCTGGATGGTCACACCCTAGCTCTGGCCCCGGTGATGCCCATGAGCCCCCCGGGCCCCCACGGCGGCAGCCGCCCACCTGGCCACCCACCTGGAATGGGGTGGCGGCTCCAGCCGGCTGCACGGTGTACACTCCACTGGGGGCGCCGGGGCTCCCGGCCCAGATGTGAGAGCAGTCCCTCCCTGCGGGACACGCGGCCAGGGGCGCTCAGACGGCGGCCATGACCCCGCGACTGGAGTCCTCCCCCTACCCTGCCTGCGGCCCCTGGACGGCCCTGGGCCACCCCTGCTGCCCCAAAGGCCAGTCCTGGCCCCCTCCCCTCCTAGCTGGTAGCCGCCTGACAGCCCCCCAAGCCCGGGGGCCTAATGTGGGAGCACTAGGGGCCCAGGCTGCGCTGCCCATCCCCTCGGGGTAGGGGGAGCTGTGGGGCAGGTCGGGGGCTGCCGAGCCTGGGCCCCGGCCTCCCTCAGCCACCTCACCAGACCTTGGGGTTCCAGAAGCGCCACCTGCACCTGTGGGGAGAGGGGGCCGCTGAGAGGCGGGCCGGGAGCTCTGGGAGCCCCTGGCCCACGTCGGCAACTGCCCCTTACCGGCCGTCGAAACCGCACCAGGCAGCTGGCCCGGGGCACCGAGAGGCACAGGAGAGCGGCAAGACCCAGCATGGGGCTGGCAGCCATGGCTCCTGAGGGCGCGGACACGGGTGGGGGGCCACGGCCTCCCGGCACCTCCACCCTGCGCGCTCACGGCTGGCCTTCGGGGCAGATCTGAGCCCCTGGGCCCCGGCTCCTTTTGTGCAGGTGCCGGGCTCACCCCGCCCCTCGCCTCCCTCGTGCTGGGGGGGCCCGAGGGTGTGGCAGGGCAGGGCAGGGGCACCCCGAGAGCGCACTTCCCTTTGGCTGCGGCCCCTGCGCCCGGATCTGCCGTGTGCTGAGGGCGGCCCCGGCCCACTCCCTCGCCCCGCACACAGAAGCGGGGCAGGGGGGGCACCTGACTCCCGTTTCCACACATTTCACAAAACAGGAGCTTCCAAAATTAGACTTTATTTCGGTTTCTAAGGAACGAGTACACGCGTGTATGTGACAGGAAGGTGACAGGAAGAACACCGTCCGGCGCGGCTCACGGCCGAGGCTGCCCCGGATTTGGTCAGACACGGAGTCAACACAAACAGTCCCACGTGATCCCCGGCCCGCACGGCCGCCGCATCACCCCCCTGGACGTGCCTGGGCTGGGAGCCCCACGTGGGGGGTCAGGGGGGCAGGCACCTGCCGCATGTGTGCAAAGTGGCGACCACGCACCAGGTGTCGGGGAGGCGGTGCGGGGCAGCCCCGGGGAGGGTCCCAGCGGTGAGCGAGTGGATCGACGGAGGGGCCGCGTCCAGGGGCTGCCCCGCGCCGCCTCCCACGGGCTCGCCCGCCCGCACCCCGCCTGCACCGCCCTGCGCCACCCTGACACCCTTTGTCCCAGTGGGATTTAAGGCTAGTATTTCCTGACATTTGCTTCAGTTCGTCTTAAGTTAAAATTACCTGAGTAAAAAAAATTTCAGACATTTTTAAAAGCCCACAGCACAGTCTCCGCAGGCAGAGCCGGCACCCGTGGGCGGCCCCCGCCGGGCCAAGTGCCCTATCACAGCAGCACCCCCAGAGCCCCAGGGAGCGGCTCGGCGCTTGCCCCGCCGGGACCCCGACAGCCCAGAGCCCACCGCGAGTCGCTGCCCGCGAGGGGAAGGCACGGTGAGGTAGGGGCGGCCGGCTGTGCCCCCACGGCCCCTCCTGCCAGCTTGTCCTGACGTGCAGGAGCCCGTGACCCCAGGAGCGGTCCCGCGGGGGCGGGGAGGGGCTGTGGGGAGGCCTGAGTTCAGAGCAGTTAAATAATTCTTTATTTGGGCGGGTTGGGGGGCAGGCGTGGCTGGGTGGCGACCCCCACGGGGGGTGGCGCCCGGGACTTCCTTGGTGGGGGGGCCGGCCCCAGCGCCCCCGGGCTGCCACCCAGGCGTGGCCGGGAGGTCGTCCTTCCTATTTGTGCGGCCGGGCCGTGGACACCGTCTGCAGACAGTACTGAGCGACGGGCAGCGACAGGACCAGGCTGGTGGCACGGCGCCCCATCCAGTAGAGGCCGTAGCCCAGCAGGCCCAGGACAGCAGCCTTGACGGCCAGCCGGGACAGCCTGCCGGAGACGGACGGCGGGGGCACGCTGTGGAGGAAGGGTGGGCTGGGCTGGCTCGGCGCGCAGGGGCGCGGGCTCCCAGGCCAGCCCCCTCCCCGGGCCGCTCGGCCTGCGCGGTACTCACGTCATGATCTCCTGGATGTTGAGGTCGGTGGTCCAGTTCTTCTCGATGCCCGGGACGTGGCCCATGCCCACGACGCCCACCACCACGGAGGGGACACACTTCCTGGGCTCGGCTGTGGGGGAAGCGACACGTCAGCCCCGGCCTGGTGGCGACGGTGCCCGGACAGCCCCCGCCCGGGCCAGCCGTTGCTGTCACCGTCAGAGGAGCGCGGCAGCTCGAGGCGCCGGGCGGCCTGCCTCAGCATGTAGGTCAGGTACACGTCGCGCTCCGAGACGATGGTGCGGTGCAGGTCAGGGAACTCGCCGATCATCTCCGCCATCATCTGCTCCAGCAGGTCCTTCTGCTTGCACCGCTCCACGTCGTCCTTGCTGGGGGCAGAGGGCATGCTGCCAGCCTCGTGGGCAGAGGGCAGCCAGCAGGAGGCTTGTGCTGTTGACCCAGGGCAGGGACCTCCGCACCCTTTGTGTCCAGGCCCCCGGCGGAAGGAAGGGGCGGGAAGGCCTTGTTTGAGGAGGCTTAGCCCCAGAACAAGTGGGGACGAACCCTGCGGCGGGCCCTGGGCCACCCTTCCTGGGTGGGGCTGCGTACGGGAGGTGAGGGGCCCTACCTGATGGGGTCTGACAGGAAGCAGAGGCCCCAGGCCAGCTTGACCTTCTGCCAGAAGGACAGCGCTGCGATGGCCCTCTTGAAGGTGACGGGGATGGGCCGGTCGCCCAGGTGGAACTTGCAGAAAGGCACCTTGCTGGCCTGGGGCGAGGGCTGGGTGTTGGCCGGGGCGGCTGGGCCCCGGGCAGCCCCCAGGCGCCGGCCCCCCACTTCCCGGTGGCCCCAGGCCCACCTCTTTGAAGGCCTCCCTGAACTCGCCGCCGGGAGCCATGCCCAGCTGCTCGGTAATGTGCGCCGACACTTTGAGCAGGAGCATCTGCATGAGTCCGGACATGACCCCGTTCTGCGGGGAGGGAGCCCGCGTCAGCGGCTGCATCCCCAGCGGGTGCCCCTCAGGCCCAGGCCCCAGTCCCCTGCCATGACCCCCGGCGGCGCACGTAGGTGTGAGCGAGGGGTGCGGGAGGGGTCCTGGGGTGGCCCGACAGCACTGAGCTCAGCCCCTGCCCATGCGGGGCCCCGGAGCGCCCACTCCAGCTCTCCCCTTGGGCTGAGGCCCAGCCCGGGTGCCCCAGGGTGGGCAGCACGCCACCCGGCGCCGCACCTGCCTCACGGCCTGCTGCAGCTTCTCCAGGCTGAGCTCCTTGGCCTCCTGTAGCAGCGTGCTCTCGTCCATCTTTAGCATGGACACGCGGTACTGGCACAGCTCCACCACCACCACGTCGGGCTGCACCTCCCGGATGGTCTGCAAGGACCGCGCCGCTCAGCCCGCCGCCCCACCCCGCCCCCGGTGCCCCCGCTGCTCTGAGGCAACACAACGGCTCCGCCCGCGGCTGGACGGGGAAGGCACGAGGCCCCAGGAAGCCCTCCAGGGGCTGGTCCCCACCTTCACCACGTCCCTCTTGCTGTCGTCGCTGAAGTGTGCCGTGCCCACCACGTACACCCTGCTCCCGTCCTCCGCCACCAGCTCGGTCACGGTGCGTGGCAGGCTGGGCCGCTCCCGCCGCCTCCTCAGCTTCATCTCCACGAGAAGGGTCAGCGCGTCAGCGTCGGCTGCAAGGACAGCAGGGGTGGGTGCGGTGCACTCGGGCCACTCGGGCTCCCGGCTCTCGGGCGAGCGACACCCGGGGCCCAGGTGCACACGAGCTCCCCACGCACGGTCCACGCGCCCCGCCCCCACCTTGGCACCCCTGCACCGGCCGCCAGGGGGTGCACCCCGCTGCCCAGGGCTCCAAGCCCAGGAGACCCGCTGCTGCTCTAGAGCCCCCCCCACCCCCCCAGCCGCCGGGCCCTGCGTGATCTCAGGAGTGCGCACACAGGTTCTGGGCTTCTCCGGCGAGCACCCTGGGCACCACCTCTGACACCCCCACTGTCACAATAGGTTCCACGTCGACCTGCAGAGAGAAGGGAACGTCTGAGTCGGGGTGCCCGCCTCCCTGGCACCAGCCTGGGCTCGGGGCAGCCCCGCGTCCCCACCGTGAGCTCCACACTCCCCCCAGTACTGAAGCCCGTGATCGTGGCCTGTACGCAGCCCACCCCCAGGCGGCCACGCTGAGGGGCCCCCACTCTGCTGAGCGGCTGGCTGGACCCTGAGCCCGAGACCCCGACCCCAGCATCGGCTGGGTCCCTGACCTCCTGGGGTGGCTGCTCCTCCTCCCCCTCCATGGCTGGGCAGCGGCTCCTGCACCGGAGAGCGAAGCCTGAGGAGACAGAGGCAGGCGGTCACCCGGGGCCTCAGCTGTGCATGGGGCTCCCTCTGCTTCGGGGACCCATGGGCGGGGCCACAGGCTCGGCCCTTCCAGGCAGATGACACTTGCCGGTCGCCAGCCATGGGGTTCCGGGCCCAGCAGATGGGGGACTCTGCCCTCAGGGATCTGGAAACCCTGCGCCGTGGGCTAAGAGCAGGGCTGGGGACGCCTGGCTTTGCCCCAGCAGGTGAGCTGGGGGGTGTCCTCTGTGTCCCGTGGGCTTGATGAGTGCCCATGCAGACACAGACCATCCAGACCCACAGGACCCAGGATGGGGAGAGGCTGCCGCCTGTGTCAGGATGGGATTCCCGGCTTCCCCAGGACGCCGTGGGAGAACCCAGCCCAGCCCGATGGAGCCTCTGGGGCGGCGCCTGGGTGCAGGGTGGCAGCACCTGAGGACGGGGACGCCCAGCACCGTGGGGACCAGCCCCCGGAGCAGACCCACGCCGACTGCTTTCAAGCTGTGGCATGAACCACCTTTGGTTCTAGAGAATCTGCACCTGTCGGGGACAGGCCGATGCAGTGCCTGGGGCTCGGGCTGTGCTTCTGGAGCAGGGCTGGGGGGGGGGGCCCTGGGGGAGCGAGGCCTGGGGGGACCTGGGAGAGTGAGGCCTCGGGGAACCTGGGGAAATGAGACCGGGGGGGAGGGGACCTGGGGGAGCAAGGCCAGGGGGTGGAACCTGGGGGAGCGAGGCCTCGGGGGGCCTGGGGGAGCGGGGTCTGGGGGGACCTGGGGAAATGAGACCTGGGGGAGTGAGGCTGGGGGGTGGAACCTGGGGGAGCGAGGCCTGGGGAGGCCTGGAGGAACAAGGCCTGGGGTGGTAACCTGGGGGAGCGAGGCCTTGGGGGGCCTGGGGGGGCCTGTGCAATGCTGCTGGGCTGCACTTTTTTCTCTGTTGCTGACACTTTCCAACATTTTACAATAAAAAGGAAGGGCCCGTGACAAGTAAGCAAGGCCGTGTGTCAGGCTCCCAGCCCCTTGGACGCCGGGCCCCACCGTTGCACTGAGCCGGCCGGGCTGTGTCCCGCCGTGGCCCTGGCGGTGGCGCGGGGGCTTCCTGCCCCAGCCCCTGCTTCTTCCTCAGCAGCGGGAGGGATGGCCATCAGCCTGGTGTCCAGGCTCACAGATGGGCAGGGTTCCCTCCCGCTCTGACCAAATGCCATCGGGGTCCAGGGACGAGCCTGGAGCTGTGGGGGCGGGGGAGGGGCTGGCACCGGGTTTCTGAAAGACGCAGCCCTAGTCACAGGGTCAGAAAGAGGAACTGGGTTAGGGCCCAAGGAAGCAGCTGGGGGGGGGCGGGGCGGAGACAGTGCGTCTGGGGAGGGGCAGGAGGGCCTGGGCTCTCCTCCCCTAGAACCTCCTGCCTGACCCCCCCCCCAGCCTGTTCTTCCCACTTTACAGAAAAAAGCACCCACCAATGCCAGGCGCCACCCAAATACCCGCAGGACGGGCCCTGAAGCCGTGGAGGGGCCGCAGGGGAGCCGCGCAGCAAGGAGCCCCGCCCCGCCCCTTCCAGGCTCCTGAGCGCCCAGGAGGCGGGAGGTGACACGCCCGGGCTTTACTCAAAAAGCAAACAGTTCTTACTTGGAAGCAGCTCGAGGCTGCCAAGGTACCAGAAAAACTTCTTAAGAAAACATCCTGTGCTCAGGCAGGGAGGCTCCTGTCACCACGTGGCTGCTGCCCTCCCTCCCGAGGGTGTGGTGGCCACCAGCCCTCCCCGCCCTCCAAAGCCCTGGGGAGACCTGTGCGTGCAGGGACAGTCGGGCCCCACTGTGCACAGGCCACAGGCACCTGCCTGTGGGCCCTCCTGGAGGCTGGGGGCGCGGGGGTGCTACATAGGCCATCAGGTGTGATGCCGTCGCCTGCTGCCATGCCAGGCCCTGGGGCCCCCTCGAGCTCTCTGTCCCCCTCCCTGTGGAGGTGGGTGCCCTGCCTGGCCAGGAGGACCAGAGGTGGGGTGCCCCGGCCGTAGCCTTGCAGGACATCATTGCTTGTAAGCCCCGCCCCCTATGCCTGGGGCCTGAGCCTCTCCCAGTGGCCACGAGGGAAGCAAGGCCCCCCACATCAGAGTCCAGCCCCCATCTCCCTGCCCCCCCCCAGTGGTTGCCACCCGGCATCCACACCCGGGTTCCACACCCGGGTTCCACACCCGGGTTCCTCGCCTCACTCTCTGGATCTACAGGTCCCAGTAGCTCTTAGACCGCTGCATGCTGCAGCAACACACAGGCCCCTGCCGACACCCTCGAGGGGACATAAATGTGCTGCCTCCCACATCACAGTCCAGTGCGGGCCTGCTACTGGCCACGCCACGGTTGGTGGCCTACGGAACCCTTTGCCACATCCAGCTGCCACTCCCTCCCTCCGACCAGCTGTCACTGCCAAGCAGGACTGTCCACGAGGATGACCTGGGGCCAGATGCCAGCAACCATGTGGCAGGACGCGGTCAGGGCTTGGCCAGGTCTCAGACCCGCCACCTGGGGCTGCAGGGCCCGGGAGGGCCTCCCACCTGCCAGGACTCTTGGCTCCTGCCTCCAGGACGGAGCTGCTGGGACCTGCCGCCCAGCTGTCTGGCTGCGGGATGGGTGCCACACTCAGACTTCAGCTCGTGACCTCGAGGACTCGGGGGGCAGGAGTGAACCCCGTGGGGCACAAGCACAACCAACAGTCTGGTTTCAGGGGACAGTGGAAGATGAGTCTTCTGAGGCTGTGTCCCCATCCTAGGGACACACCAGGACCTGGCTCTGTGAGTCACGATCCTGCGCACAGGTGACAGCAGCAGAGTCACCCACCAGCTTCCAGAAGACACGTCGAAGCGGCGGGAATTCCCCACAGCCCCGAGGGCCCCGAGAGGACCACCTTGTCGCGTCCTCCAGTAGAGGTACCTGCTCAACAGCAGGAAAAGCCCCTCTGGCATCTGGGACCCGCCGGGGGTGCAACCCTGGGACCGCTTGACCCGCGTGATGGAATGATTAGCGTCTGAGCGTGTTGCGCTGGCGTCCATTTCCGGACGCACCGAGGCCACGGGCAGCTGAGCGTGAGCAGCACCCCCGTCCCTGCCCGCGCAGCCGGAGCCGGTGCTGACCCGGACTGAGGTGCTCACAGACCGAGGCCCCATCCGCGGGGCCGGCGCTTGGCGGTGGAGCCTTTGGGGGCTGACCAGGGCCCCGGGAAGTCACGGCGGGGGCCCCACGACGGTCCTAAGGCCCCGGCAGGGCAGACCCCGGGGCACCGTCGGGGCGAGACGGCCAGCTGCAAGCAGACACCGACCGCCCTCGCCGGCGACCCCCCGTCGGTCGGGCCGGCGGGGGGGGGGGGGGGGGCCCTGGGCTGCAGCCCAGGCGGTGGGTGTGCGCCGAGCCCCCGCCCCGCCCCGCCCCCATCCCAGGCTGGCCCGGATCGGCGGAAGCCCCGCCCCGCCCGCACCTCCGCCACCCGGTGGGCTCGCGTCCCCTCGCCGCCCCGCCCCGCCGTCCTCCCGTCCAGGCCCCGCCCCGGGACCCCCGCCCCGGAGCCCGCCGTGCCCAGAGCCGCGCTCCCGACGCCGCGCCGCGGCCGCCCCGCTCCCGACTTCCCGACTCGCTCACCGCGCTGCTCTGCGGTACGAAGTTACAGCCCCGGCCGCTGCCCCGCGCGCACGAAGCGCAGGCCTCGGCCCCGCCGGCCCCGCCGACCCGTCCACGGCCCCGGCCTCCAGGGCAGCGCCGCCGCACTCGGGGGCCCGGGTCCCGCCGGGGGAGCCCCCCCTGCCTCCCCCCGGCCCCGCGCGCCCCCCGCGGCCCCGCGCTGACCCTTGCAGCCCCGGGGCCCACGCTGGGGGGGGCTGGGCCCGGCCCGGGGCGAGGCAGCCCCCGACCCCGAGCGCGACCCGGCCCGACCCCCGCCCGTCAGCCGGGCCCGCGGCGCGCAGCCTACCGAGGCGGGGCGGTGCTCCTCAGCCGGCCTCCATGCGGCTACTCGCCCCACCGGACGGGGCGGACCGGGGCCGGGACCGGGGGCGGGGCGGCCGGACGGGCCGGGGCCGGGGGCGGGCGGCGCGCGGCATGCCGGGAAGCGCAGTTCCCCGCGCCGCCCGTCCGCACCGTCGGCGCGCCGGGTCCGCGCCCGCGGACTACACTTCCCAGGGGTCCGCGCGCGAGCGCCCGCGGACTACACTTCCCAGGGGTCCGCGCGCGAGCGCCCGCAGACCACACTTCCCAGGGGGCTGTGCGCGAACGCCCGCGAACTACACTTCCCAATGGCCCGCGCGCGAGGAGCCCCAGGCCCGGCCCGGCTCGCCCCCGGCGCCTCGCGGTCCAAGAGGAAGGAGTGGACTGTGGAGCCTAGAGTTCGAGTCCCCGGGGCTGTGCGGGAGCAGGTGGCCTTGCGAAGACTCTTAGGGTCTCTGGCCGCAGCGCCCAGCCCCCGGATGTTCTCACGACGTCCACGGAGAAGCTTCGCGCCCATCGCCCGGGAGGGGCAGCGCGCAGTGGGGTGGAGGGGGGGCGCCCGCGTGGCTCGGCCTGGGGGGTGCGGGGGGCGCGGCCGTCCCTCGGCGCGGTGGGTGCAGGCCCAGCAGTCCCGCCGCCCGCCTCCCTCCGCTGCCTACGGTTCCCGAGGTCTGTGCCCCCCCGCCCCCCGCCCCAGGGCGCCGACCACGCGGCCCCCTCCGCGGTCCTCACGGGCGCCGTCCGGGTCTGGAGGGGTCGGGGGACGTGTCCACGCTGGGACGGCCCCGCAAAGAGCCGGATCCCGCCGTGGCTGCGTGGGACGGGGGTTCTCCGGGGGGGCCCAGCCGCCGGGGCCGGGTACCGGGAGCGGGGCACCTGCCTGCGCCCACGGGGGCGCGCACCCGGGGTACCTGCGGGGCGGGCGGCGCTGCGCGGGGTGACGGCTCGGCCTCTTCTGTCCCCGCGAGCCGGGCCCCCCGTCTCGCCGCGGACACGGACACGCAGGTGGCTCCGCGGCCGGGGGTGGGGGGCGGCGGTCGGCGACACACCCGCTGCGGCGTCCGGGCTCTGCGACCGTCCGCAACTCGAGAGGAGCCCCGGGGCGGCGTGCGCGGAGGGGAGGGCGGCCGTGGGCCGGGACGGCGGGGGGGGGGGGGGGGGGGTCCCGGCCTGCAGAGCTGGCGCGCTGCTCAGGCCTGCGGGCTCGGGTCCCTTCCGGCCACGGGCTCTCCCGCCGCAGCAGGCGCTGGGCCTTCCTTCTCTGACGGCGCGCCGGGCGGCTTACCTGGAAGGAGCCTCCCCCAGGGCTACCGCCGGAGACCGCAGCGCCCCCGCCCGCACCCTCCGTGGGGCTCCCGCCCTCGGGTCCTCACCCACTCCCACCACCCAGGGCAGGTGCCCGGCGACCCGGGAGCCCCGGAGCCCGCAGACGGTGTTCCCATGAGCCAGCCCTGAGTCCGTCCACCTGCCTTGTCCGTACTTCCTGCAGAAGCCACGGGACAGGCTCCTGCCCTGGACCCCCTCCCGCGCTGCCTCCTGGGGCAACCCCCAGGGCCTCTGGCCTGGGCACGGCCTGCCCCCCATCGGGAGCTGAGTGACGAGCTCTCCCGACCGTACGGTCTCCCGCGCAGGCCTTGCCAGACCCTAGTGACAAACCTATGTTTAAAACCCAGGGCCCCTTGTCTGTCACTGTCTGGTCATCGGGCTCCGGGGGAGGTCGGCCTGCAGGGGGGTGCAGGGGGATGCAGCGCTGGGCCAGGCAGGGCTCAGCCGCCCATGGGGGCCCTCTCTGCTCTCATGCCCCGCTCCCCCGGCTCTAGCACCCACAGTTTCTGGCCTGGCTGCATGGCCACCTGGCTCTGGGGAGCCTGTGTTTAGACCCTGGGAGCCACCGGGTGGGACTGAGGGCATGTGGCCGTGAGACCAGCCTTGTCCCACCAAGGTCCTGGGTCCCTGCAGCGGGAGCAGCCTCACACCATGCCTGTACCAGATGGGCCCCTGTCCCCGAGCCCCTGATGGGGCTTCCTGGGGGCTCGTGCCTTCGTCTCTGCTGAGCCTGTGAGCCCAGGGCTCCCCTGCATGACCCCCCGGCCCGCAGCACAAGCACATCAGAGGTCATGGGATGTCAACCCCAAGTTACACCTATGCACCCCTGCCTCCCTGTGGGTGCAGTAGGGCCCCCAAGGTAACCTGGAGGGCAGGGGCCACCTCCCTCAGATGTAAGAGGTCCTGCTAGAGCCCAGGCCTCCTGCAGGACAGACCACGCGGACTCACACAGTATCAGAATAATATTTATTGATATGCTCGGTGCTACCTTATTAATACTGTCACGTTGTCACCGTGGCTGAGGTAATAGGGACAGACCCTCCGAGCGCCAGCCCTGGGTGCCCACGGGAAGCTGGGCCCTCAGGTGGGGGCTGGTGGCCTGGGTGGGGGGACGTGGTTATTGCGTTGGACTCCTTCCCTTGCACGCTGGTGTCCGCGCCGTCTCAGCCCCGTGTCCAATCACACGCCGTGCGTACCCGCTGAGCCCACACCGCGCTGCTCACTGCTCACGCCCACTCACGCACACATCCGCTGGCACACTGGTGCCCTCATCCTGTCGCTCACGCCCACGCACACACCATCCTGTCTCCTGCTAATACGTACACTCAGTAGTTACAGTAATCGTATTAAAATAAAGTACAGGTATGTTGGGACTCAAGGAGAAAGTGCACGTTGATCGGATGGAGGGTGGACCCCTGCGCCCCTGCTGACCTGAGCGTGGACCCCTGGGCCCGGCAGGCCCGGTGCTGGGACCGCCCCAGCTCCCTCCCGGCTTGGAGCAGAGCTGTCCTGCCATGGCCCGGCCCTCAGGGCCAGCATCCCGGGCCCAACACGAAATCGCCTAAAAAAATAGACTCTTCAGCTTGCAGCCACTGCCTGACGCAGGGTGGCTCCAGGCCTTCCAGGGGGCTCTGCTGGGGGTCAAGGCCGGCCCCGGGCCCAGCCAGCACCCCCACGATGCTGTCCCGGGGGCCGGGAGGGCACGGCGCTCAGCCCTGTAGCATGCGGACTGGAGGCCGGAAGGCGTGGGCAGTGCCGGGTGAAGCAGAGGCCACGTCCACGTGGGTCTGGGGCGGCGGCGGCTGCCCCTTCCTCAGAACTCCACGGTGCTCACGACCGTCCTCGGCTCGTCGAAGGTGGCGATGAGGATCTGCTGGGGCGGCGGGATGGCGATAAGGCTGCCCACGTCCGGGGGTGCTCGGGGGCCCCCGTCCTCCTCCTCCCGGGCTTCATACAGTGTGCTGATGTGCAGCAGGGGGTGCGTGGCGTTGCGGCTCAGGATCGCAAGGGGGTCGGCCTTGCCCAGACTGGCCGGCGACAGAGGGGCTGTGGCGGGGGCTGCTGGGGGCGAGCAGACGTGAAAGGGGCCCCCAGGGGGAAGCGCGGCCCGGGCCGGCTCTGCTGGGTACAGGATCTCCTTCTCGGGGCGTGGGGCGTCTGTAAACACGGGGAGCACAGGCGTCACCTCCCCGCCCCTCTGCCTCCTTCGCCCTGTGCGCTCCAGCCGCGGGGCCTCCCCTGCCCCAAGCAGCCATGGTCGCGGCCCCTGGGGGGGCAGCCCGCCCTCCTCCCCTCACACCCACGCAGATGCCCGGTGTGCCCCCCTCCCCGGCAGGCGTCCCCAGGGCCTACCTTTGGTGGGAGCTGCGGCCAAGCCCAGCGCGCACTCCTCCGCCTGGGAAAGGAAACTGCCTTCCTGGCTCCGGGAGGTGGGCAGGGCGGTGGTGGGCCCGGCCTCGGGCTTGGCCTTCTTGGTGCCGAGGATGTAGGGGTGCACGTCCAGGGAGAAGTGGCGTGCGTGCTTCTTGTCCGGCACAGGCCCCGGGTCGCCCCCACCGCCCTTGTAGTGGTGGGCAGCGCGGGCGCCGGCGTCCAGCAACGGTGCGATCAGCGTGTCCGTGGCCGTCTTGCGGCGCACGGGCTTGGGCTTCTCGCCCTTGCTGTTCTCCACGCGCATGATGGCCAGCGGCTCCTTGAAGGGCTGGGGCAGCGGGTTGCTGGTGGGGATCCACTTCATCTTCTTGCGTGGCCGCTTGACCACGGGCGGCTCGGCGGAACCCTCGGGCTCGGCGGGGTTGGCGCTGGGGTCCACCGTCTGCACGCCGGCATCGCGCACGGTGGGCGTGGCGTCGTGGTTGGACTGGGCCAGCGCGGCCAGCAGCTGCCGCACCACGTTGTCGTACATGAGGTCGCTCTCGTTGGTGATGAAGTCCAGCCGGTTGAGTGACTTGATGTGATCGCGGTTCTCGTTGCAGAACATGGCCAGGATGTTGATGTCGCAGAACTGGGAGCGGCGCCACTGCCGGCGCGTCTTGATGCCCACCTTGTGCAGCTTGTCGAAGATGAAGTTACTCTTGCGGAAGATGAAAAGGTGGATGAGGTTGACGAGGATGATGAGGTTCATGGCGCAGAGCAGCACGATGTCCACGCCCGCCACGATGCGCTGCAGCTGCACAGATGGGAGCTTGCAGCTCACGCGCACGGCCGTGCCCCCCGCGGCCGGCCAGTCTGGAGATGCGCCCAGCGCGCACGTGAACTCGTTCTGCTTCTGGGTGGCATAGTAGGTGCACAGGTAGGAGATGGGCGCCACACTGAGCAACAGGATGAGCAGGTGCCGTGCCAGGTACAGCTTGGCCAGGAAGTTGCTGCGGCCGCGGCGCTCCAGGTACTTCTCGAACAGGTTCTGCTCGGGGCTCTTCTCCTTCTCGGCGTTCTCGATGATCTCGCGCCTCTCGCGCTCCGTGATGCCGGGCCCCTTGGACTGGATCTGCTTTTCGATCTTGGGGGCGCGGCCCTCCGCCGCGCGGTGGTAGCAGTTGTCGATCTCCTGCAGCAGGAAGTTGAGCTCCGAGGTGAGGCGGGTGGAGGCCAAGAACTCCCAGCCCAGCGCGGGCACGTACATGATGGCCGCGAAGGCCAGCAGCGAGTAGGGCAGCAGCTTGTGCTCAAACAGCGACGGCCACAGGCTGGCGTCCACGCCGGGCAGCGCGTCCCGCAGCTCCGTCCAGCAGTAGCCGCGAGCGTACAGCGCCTGGTCACGAGTGAAGTTGTGCGGCGTGTAGCAGTAAATGGGCTCCTCTGAGGGCAGAGAGGAGACTTGGGCTGGGGTGCTGGGTGGGGGCGGGGGCGCGCCAGACATGCCAGGGACTGCAGTCCCCAAACAAATGCCCGGGCCCAGGAGGTCTCAGCCTGGAGACCCCCGCAGCTGGGGTGGCACGGAGTGGGGACAGCCCCGGGGTGAGTGGCACCTCAGCTCCCGCCGTCGGAGGTGGGGGAGGCCCTGTCTGAGGGCAGCAGGGCGGGCCAGGCCACTCGCCGGGGTCCCTCCGCACGCAATGCACCTACCCCAGCCCATGGGCTGGGCCATGGGGCCCCGGCTCCCGGAGGGAGCGCGGCCGGCCCAACGGGGCCAGGGGCAGCTCCAGGAGGATGGCTGTGCCCAGCCTGCCACCGAGGGTGTGGTGGCTCCCCAGGCCCACCATCCTGGGGCCCCGGGCGGGCCCAGCCTCTGATGGGACACAGGGGCCAGGATCTTGGCGTCCGCGGCCACCACAGCGGGGGCCTCCCAGGTGGCAGCTTGAAGGCTGTCACTGGACTTTACTTTCCCTCCCAGGTGACGATGGGCACAAACCAACAGCAAAGAACACATCTGGGGCTCCACCCGCTGGGGGTTCACATATGGACACTTCCCCACAGGGCAATGCCCGGCAGGCCAGGGGCTGACCTGGGGGCGTCCCTGGACCCCGTGTCCGTGGCCCCGAGGGGTCAGCGGCCAGCCCGCGGCCTGCTCCCCTGACTGCTGGCGTCCTGCCCCCAGGCCTGCCCCTGCCCGCACAGCCATCCACTTGGGGCCGCCCGCACCTGGGCTACTTTACGCAGGCTCTGGGGGGGACGGTCCTGGATTATGCGGGTGGGCCCGGGGTGGTCACAGGGGGCAGAGTCAGATTTGTGAGCATGAAAGCAGAGGCTGGAGAGAGAAGCCACTGCGCCAGCTTTGAAGCTGGAGGACCGGCACCAAGCCAAGGAAAGTGGGGTCTCTGGAGCCTGGGAGAGCAGACAAGAGCCTCCTGGAGCCTCCAGGAGGACTGAGGCCCTGAGTGACCTGCGCCCTGCGCCCTGTGAAGCACTTCTGACTCCGAGCTGGGCGACTCTGGGATCGCAACGTGTTATCCTAAGCGGCTAAGTTCGTGGTCACTTGTTAGAGCAGCAGCGGAAAGCTAAGGCAGGTGGTGGCTGGCCGCCTCCTCTCCTGCTCCGTGTCTCCCCCAGGAGTGTGAGTGAGGGTGCTCCCACCGTGCCAGGGGGACCCCCACACAGGAGGGAGGCGCGGGGAGACATCCCCTCTCTAGAGAGCAGTGACCCGCGCAGGTTCCCCTGGCCCCCAGGACCCAGCACCGGCCCTGCAGCTCATGCTCCATGTCCTCGAGGTGCAGGGCACTTGCCTTCTTCCCTTTTTGAGAAGGGCACATGCTCTGGGGATCCCTGCACACCTCCAGTCCAGAGACACCCAGGTTATGTGCGGCCACAATTATTTGCCACTTATGGAAAGAGCAGCTGCGAGTTGCCCTGTGCGGGGGTGCGTAACAACTGAGGAACCCGCTTCCCGCTGAGGCCGCCCCTATGTCCGCTGCTGAGTGGTCGGCGCACTGGGGGTCTACTCACAGCAAGCCCGGCCAGGAGCCATGGGGTCTTCCCGTGGCCCGCTGCCCTCCACACTGCGGATGCACATGGCCCTGGCCTTCCGGGAGGTTCTAGGCTAGGAGGCCAGTGCCGCGTGTTGCCGGCACCTGTTTACCATCGTGTCCCTGTCAAGCAAAGCAGGGTGCGGAGAGTCGGGTGTCCCGTGCTCCAGGGAGTCCCTGTGCAGCGAGGCCCCGGGCACTGGGTGTGCCCCCCACACGGGGTCGGTGGGGCCAGCTCCTCATGGGTGGGGCATGCATCCTCTTGGCGGTGACAGCACACACCCGGGCCCTCCGCCCCAGGCTGAGACCCTCACAGATGGGTGCCGATACGCTGTGGGGGGGCAGGGCCCCCAGGTGGGCTCTTGTCCAGGGGATTGGGTGGAGGGGCCTCAGTGCCCTTGGAGGGCCGGAGCTGCTGACCTCACCTCCTTTGTGCACCCCTGTGCCATCCGAGCTGTCCCCGTGTGTCAGCAGGGCATCTCCTGGAAGGTCACCCTGTGGACGTGTGGTGCCCACCTGCAAGGCGCCGCTTCCCTGCACCCCTACTGTCCCGGGCCTGGGGAGGGGACCCGGGACGCTTCTCAGTTCTGTGTGAAGCACCAGGAGACCTGTCACTTGAATCTTACTCCAGGTGAGCACGAGAAGCAGCCAGAGCTCCCCCGAACCGTGAGGGGCAAAGCCAGGGCAGCTGCAGGGACTCCTGTCAGCAAGCCTGATAAGCTGTTGCCAGCCCCCCTGCGTTCTGTGACCTGGGACAGGAGTTCCTCGGGCACACCAGGGGCTGAAGGCCAGCCATGTTCCATGGGCCATGTTCCAGGGCCCCCGATGCCAGGCAGCAGCAGCCAGCACCTGCCACTGCTCAGAAGGCCTGCCTTGTCCACGCTGGGGGCCAAGCGGGCACAGCACGTCCGTGTGCAAATGCAGGTCAGTGTGGGGGGGGGCAGCGTCAGGACCAGGAACGGAGAGTGAGCTGGGGACACCCTGGCAGCCCAGGCCTGGCTGGACGAAGAGCGGCGCCGAGGCACCACGGCGGGTAAGCTGGTCTCACGGGAGAACGTGAGCATGGAGGCCCTGTCCCTGACGGAGGTCCCCTGGGGTGACTATCTTGAGCCTGCCCCACTGTGCATACCTGTAGTGGGTAGCATTGTGTCCCCCCCAAAAGATGTTCAGGTCCCAACCCCTGGTCCCTGAGAACGTGACCTTGTTTGGAAACATGTTCACGATAATGTCACGCTGAGGGCACCTGGGTGGCTCAGTGGGTTAAAAATCTGGGCTCCACACTCAGCAGGGGTGCTGCTTGGGGGCTCTCCCCCTCCCTCTCCCCCCCTGCACACGCCCACGTGCTCTCTCCCAAATAAATACCTCTTAAAAAAAAAGATAAGGTCACACTGGAGTAGCCCCAACCCAATGACTGGTGTCCTTGTAGGAGCCCAGGGAGAGGTGCCCCGTGTGACAGGGGCTGGAGAAGCAGGAGGGAGCCCGCCTGGACCTGCGGGACTGAGGCCGGGCCCACACGTTCACTTTGGACTTTTGGTCTCCAGACTATGACAGTTGTTCAGTTGTTTTGAGTCACCAAGCTTGTGCTTGTTACAGTTTGGGGGTTCTAGTCCTGGAGCCCCGACACATCTGGGTGCCCCGAGTGACACTGGTAGTCACACCTGCACGTGAGTGTGAGCCACCCCCGCCCCTGGGAGCGCGTCCTTTCTCTGGGCACTGGTGTCCACAGAGAGAAACTGCAGAGGCCCCTGGTGTCAGAGCGGCATCAGGTGGCCTGGACGTGTCCACCCTCAGGTCTGGAGTTCCCAGGTCACGGAGACCCCTAAAATTGAGCATGGATCAATGCAGAATTGAAGAATGTCCGCCAGTGTCACTCAGGGGACAGTCACAGGTCCCTCCCCGCTCTTGGGGGGTGACGGGAGCCCCCACCCCTTCAGCTCCCGGGCACCTCTGGCCCTCAAGCACGGCCAGCACTGCAGGGCCCTCCCTGGATCCCTCGCCGGCAGATGGGACCGGGGGAGCCATTCCCTGCCCCCAGCTGCCCGCCTCTACCTGCCTGACCCAGCTCCGCAGCCGCCTGCCCCCAGCGCCTCCCAGGGTCACTTGTTAGGACGTCCTCCTGGTGCCAGTCCGTCAGCTGAAGGCCCTGGCACCCCGCGGCACCCCCTAGCACCCCCGGCGCTGGCTCCCCTCACTGCCCGGTCGGGACCCCCTTCCACCTGCCCGGCCCCGCGGGACGCCCAGCCTGGTCTCCCGGTCTCTGCGGCAGACCTTCGGGGCTCCCGGTGCCCAGGGCGAGGCCCCCCGCGCCGCCCCGCGCTCCGTACCCCTTGGCTGCCGCTCCGACGGCCGTCTCCGGCCCCCACCTGGCCACTCCTCCTCCGCAGAGCCGGCCCACCGCCCCTCCCGGGCTCCCGCGCCAGCCCCAGCCCCGCTTCTGCCCGGGAGCACCGGGCCGGGCGGTGAGCACACAGCGCAGCGCGGGGCCCGGAGCCGCCCCGGGGACAGGCGACGCGGGCAGCGGCGGGGGGGCGGGGGTCGGGGCCCCGCGGACGCGCCCGCAGCCTCACCTGCGAAGTTCTTGGTGAAGACCAGGGTGACCAGCAGGATGGGGACGAGCACGGTGCCGATGGTGACCACGCGGTCGAAGGGCAGCTCGAGCTTGAGCTGCAGCAGCAGCGCAGCCAGCGCGCCCGCCTTGTCGTCCTGCGCGCCGGGCAGGATGAGCTCGCGCAGCTTCTCCCCGGCCAGCAGCGCCGTCGCCATGTCCGCGGACTGCTCCAGGAGGTGGTGCATGGGGGGCGGGGGGCGGCCCGGGGCGGGCGGGGCGGGGGCGCGGGGCTGGGGACGCTCCGCCGCCGCCGGGCGGGCAGGGGTCCGACCGCCCGCGCCGCCGCCCCCGCCTCTGCAGCCGGCCCGGGCCTGGGGCGTCCCTCGGGCGGGGCGGGGCGGGGCGGGGCGGCGGGGGGCGCCTGTCCCTGGCTGGGGCCGAGGCCCCGCGCCGGCCGGGGAGGGGGCTGTTTACCTGCGGCGACTCGCGGCGAGGCTCCGCCCCCCCGCCCCCCCGCCACGCAGATGCGGCGCCGGCGATGACTTTGCAAAAAATCTTTAAATTAAATAAAATGAATGAACAATGACTGGCCCCGCCTCCTCCTCCTCGGGGTGGGGACGGGGCGGGGGAGGCCGCGGGGGTCCCCGCCCGCCGCCCGCCGCCCGCCGCCTCCACCCGGCCCTGCGCGGAGCCCGCCGCGGCGCTGGGCGCCCCTCCCCGCTCGGGGGCACGGCCCGCGGCCCCCGCTTCCCCTGCTCCGCCCGCAGCCGCCTTAGCTCCTTCACTCCTCCCTTGGGCTCCGGGGACTCACGCCCGGCTCCCCGCCCCCCCCGCCCCCCTTCCCGCCTCCTCGCCCCCCCCTCCCCTTCCCGCCTCCTCCGCCCGAGCAGTCGCGCGGACATTGTCCGGGGTTGGTCTCGGCGTGGGGTGCGGCCGCCACCTTCAAGCCCCGCTGCCTGCACGATCCTCTGTGGTTCGTCATTTTTAAAAATTCTTGGCTGGCCCCCTTCCCACTGTTATGGGATGTAAATCATGGGATATCTCTTTGTGAAGTATTTAGTGTGGCTGCAGTTTGAACTTCGGTGATTCCTGCCCTGGCACCAGTATCTCCAGGTCCTGAGTGGTGGGGGTGACCCAGTGGGCCCTGGGGCTCAGGGGGGTGCTGGCGCTCCACACCTTGCGTTTCTTCACCTTTCTTAGGGTCTCTATGCTTTTAAAGATTCACCTGTGCTGCTGAGTGATGCTCCCCCTTGGCTCCTAGTGGGTAATTATTTGTCTACTACCTACTGAGGCCTTCAATCTCCAACCCCTCAGATAACCCAGACACCCCCTGCACAACCCAGCTGCCCCCAGAAAAACTAGACATGCTCCCACATTACCCAGACACCCACATAAAATCCAACTCCCTCCAAAACCCAGACATCCCCCAGAGAATCCAGTCACTCCAGCTGTCCCACATGGCCCCCTCATAATGGCATGGATATCCCCTAAGGCCCTTTGGGAATCCCGAGGGGTGCTCCTGGGGGCACCTTCCGTGTTGCTTTCCAGAAAGGCTGGACCATGAAAAAGAGGTTCTCTCCCCATAATATTCCCAGCTCCTGGCATGATCTGGTGTCTGCGATCTGCCATCCTAAAGTCTTCAATGTGGTTTCAGTTTGCCTTTCTGATCACCAGTGGGTTTACCGTCTGTTCAAGCCTCCCACACACCGAGAGCTCCCGTCTGTACTTTCATTAATAGGAGGTCTTGGACTTACGTCAGCCTCTGTGAAGGCCTCCTTTAAGTCCTTTTGTCCGTTGGGTTTATCCATGGGGTCTGGATAGAAATCCTTAATTTTGATGTAGTCAAGCCATCTTTTAATTTTTTTATGGTTTGTGGTGTTTTTTTCCAATGTCATGAAGGCAGCTGGGTGTCCCTCCAGGAGCAGGACACCTTATCCTCCACGCTTATCCTTATCCTTATCCTCCACAGAAGAATGCTTCTGTGGCTTGCAAGCAGAAGCACTGAAATGTGCTTTGTTTCTGTGTGGGGGGGAGTGGGTGAAGTCACCTGTGATGAGATTTCAGATGACTGTACCCGATCACAACCCAAATTCCATATGTAATATTACTCATTTAGTAGATACATTTCTAGCTGGAAGACCATGCATGAAGGTAGAAATGTAGCTTAGTTTCTCTCCATAAACGAGTGTCTTTTCCCAACACTGTTGACTGCGCACCATACCCTTTCTTGGAACACCAAGTGTCATCACCACACCCACAATGGGTTTGTCCTTGTAACGGCTTAGTGGTATACCAAATACGTGGATGGGCAGGGACCCTCCTTACTCTTTTTCATTGACTTAGGTATTCATGACTTCACTTTCCTAGGAACATTTTAGAAAGACTCGGTCAAGTTTCCAAAAAGGAAATGTAGCTGGAATATTGAGATTGCCCTAATAATATATACTAACCTGGGACACCTGAAATCTGCACAATTGTAGGTTACCTTTCCTTATCCATAAACATAGTACATTTCTTCATTTATTTACATCTTTATATCTTGTAATAAATTTACGATTTCTCTGTAAATGTTGCATTGGTTTGTCCCAGACAGGTCCTAGTTTTTGTTCTCTGTACATGGCATCCCATTTTGTGATGTACTTCAGCTGCTTAGTCTGGTGCAGAGGGCACACCGCTGATCTCCAGGTGATCAGAGTTGGCCTGTGGGCATTAGCAGGTTGTGGACTTGCCTCTGGAGTACAGTGGTGCTCAGGACACTGGTGGCACCTGCTCCGTGAGGAAGGCTGGGCTGCTGTCTACCCATCCAACAGAGGGGCACCGGGGGAGAGCTGAAGCTGGATTGCACCCCCATCATCCCCACTGCAGCTGTGGCCTTGAATGCTGTCCTTCCTTCTCTCTGGGAAGAGAGGGGCCTGGATGTGGCTAGGGTGGGGCCCAGAGCAGAATGGTGAGCGGTGGTCTTTGATGGCACCCCAGACAGGGCTCAAACCCTGCAGAGACCTGGAGCCCAGGGCCCTGTCCTTTGTTTCCCGCCCCCCAGGATCAGGTCACCAAAGACCTCACAGCTGGCTGGCGTGGGCAGGCTGTACTGGAGGGTTACTCTCCCCACATCCTGTCTTCAGGGAGGACCACACTGGAGAGCAGCTTGTCCTTTCTTGTGCTGAGATGTTAGCAGATGGCTTCTGACACATGGAGAGGTTTGCAGAGGCTGACAGTGCTGCAGCAAAACTTTTTTTTTTTTTTTAAACGCATGACTCTGAGGGTCAAGACCTGAGCTGAGATCAAAAGCTGGACACTTAACTGAGCCACTGAGGCCCTTCCCTTTTTCTAAAGTAATGTCTACATCCAACATGGAGCTCAAACCCAAACCCCAAGATTAAGAGTCGCATGCTCCTCCAGCTGAGCCAGCCAGGCGCCCCTGTAGCAAAACTCTGAATGCACTGTCTGTGCAAACCAGAAATGAATGGAATGAGGGACCCTCATTCGAGCGGTGTTGTGCTGTCCCATGAAGACGGCAGCTTGTTAGCCGATGCCCTTCCAGTTCTACCTCACTTCCGTGTTTACTTACGAAGATCCACAACATACGCGTGTCACTGATTAAATCCTTACAGTAACTACAAGAACAATTCAGGTGAACTTGCTATCAAGTTCAGTCTTACGTTTTCACAAATCAAAGCGAAAGGCTGCTTCAGGGCACCTGGCTGGCTCAGCTGGAGGAGCGTGCAGCTCTTGATTTCGCGGTTGCGCGTTTGAGCCCCAGGATGGGTGCAGAGATAACTAGAAAATGAAACAAACCCCTTAAAACAGCTGCCTCAATGTATACAAGTTTGTCTGGAGAAGCAGCAGAGGGTAAGCAAGAGGCTCGTTCAGTTGCAGGAATCAACCACCCTGCTCTTCATTATCTGTCATCAGGTGGGCTGGGAACTGTGCCCATCTGTCCCCTCACTCTGGGGACTAGCAGCCACCATCCCAGTGGCACAGTTCACACCCCTAGGTCACTTCCGCTCACTCTTCAGGGGTCAGAGCTCATGCCTGGTGGCACAGCGGTGGGGTGGGGTGGGAAGGCTGGTGCAGGCCCCATCGTGTGCCCCAGAGAACAGGCTGTTTGCGACGCCCTCGACTTTCAACCCCACACACTTGGCATCACGTATGCTGCTGTGGGCAAAGCTCTGGGGGAAGGAGCAAGGGACAATGTGCAGCCATGAAGGGGCAGCTGGCTGGGTCCTTTCTAAGTGACCAGAAGGAGTGTCAAGCTGCAAATGCCTTTTGATTCCAGTGGACACACTGAAAAGGCTGCTTTGTCGAACTTCAAAATGGCAATAATTACAACCTGCCGGAATGAGCAATTTTGAACGAGGAGACCAACAGTAGGTAAGCTGAACCAAGTGGCAGCACACAGCTCCCAAGTCTCCAAGCACAGAAGTTAAACCCAATGGGGGCCACACCTGCCAGCAGGAACCTCGGAGCTTGGCCCACCAGGAGTCCATGCTGCCTGGGCAGCCCCCATGCCTTCTCATCCTGGGCTTGCCAGAGTCTTCTGCTCGGTCACTGAGCATTCTCAGTGAGTGCTCCAGGCCCAGCGGGGCTGCACTGGGTACCCCTTCCTGTGGTGCCCCGTCCTCTACAGAATGACCCACCTGCTCTCCCCCCACCCCTGACACACCTCCAGGCCAGTACTGAGTACTCCCTCCGCCTGGAACACCCAGCCCTGTTTTCCTGTCTGCTCTCACCCTGCACCCCTGCACCTGCTGCCTCCTGCAAGCCAGGCCACCCCATCACTCAGGGCTGTGCCAGCTGGGCTGGGTGCAGTGCTGTGCAGGTGTGCACATCGTTCTGGGGTGGCAGCTGGGTCCTGTAACACAGTGTGGGCAGGAGCAAGGGGACAGTGCTGGGCTGGTCTCAGGAGGCCATTCACGGGGGTCGCGGGGAACGAGGGTGGGATCTAGCACATGTGATCTGCCAACCCTGGCTCCCTCCAGGCCTTTCTGGGGTCCTCCTGGTCACTGCTCGGGGCAGAGAAGACCTGCCCTCCAACACTCCCTCTAGAGTGTCTAGAGTTGGGGACACACAGCACGGTGAGGTGGGGGCTGCTCAGGGAGCCTAGCCCCGGGGCAGCCAGTGCACG